CCTTGCAGAAATATCGAACGGCGTAATAGGGCATGGAATATTCGGTTATATGTTGTTGTTTTTTGTTGTTGTTATTTCTTGTTTTGTGTTTTTTAAGATAACCGTTTCGATTGATATATTGTACATAAGCCATTTTTTCAAAATATACGGTACAAACAATTTACTTTGAAGGCAACAGTATTTGATAACTAACTTTTAAATAAGGCTGTTCACGTTAACTGGTAGAAAAACCCCCATTAATTCTTTCAGGAATGATAGATAATTTTCTGAAAGGCTCAAATTGTCCAAAAGCAAGATTTCTGTTATCAGCTCTTGCGGCGTCATGCAAACGATTGATGACTTTGAAATGATTCGAATGTTGATACAAATAATATGTGCAAAATCAGATACCCGTGTTTTGTACTTTAGCCGACTATAAGAAGTGGGTTTTTTTCGTCACGTGAATAAAAAAAGGTACTTGAATTGAAAAACTGTATCATGCAGTTTAGAAAGGCGGGTGTTACTATACTACATAACATGAACATTCACTATCTAGTACACTTACTTTATCAAAAGACTAGAAGGAGTTTATATCTTACTCAATCGTTACCCTGTTTAGCTGTTGGTGCGCCTCAGAAACATATCTTATTGACGTTACATCAGTACCACAGCCATAAAACATTACTTTTATTACATCTGAATGAGATATCTAAGGCCTCGTTGTTATCACCCGGTGTTGTACAACTGAAAAAAAGTACAGCATATAATTATCCACTCAAATAACGGACATGACGTGTATTGTAAAGCAGACAAAAAGAAACTATACAATTGAAAAATGTATTTGAAAAAACAACAACACACATGCAGAGGTATAAAAACACATAAACGATTGATGTTGATAATACATTTATCATTAAAATTACACGGGTCTGTATTCCGAATACCATCCATTCGCAATCAATTTATGTCCTATTATTACGAACAAGTAGAAATTGAGAGAAGGTCTATTTTAAGAATATTGATATCCATCTCGTAGCATGGAATAAAATTAAATGTATTTGTATTCGGAATGTCTCATATTATTACAGTGATGTTTGACTAGACCTTATTGCATGGAGTGTCATCTGTCAGTATCAATTTTCTACAACGCTATTTTTTACCAAGATGTAACATAACACTTCACGCTGACTGCTTATTGTGTGTTTCCGGTCCGTAATAATAAGAAGAAACATACAGCGACAGAAACACATTCCCATCATCATAAGAAATCTCGGCAATAAAGCAGTGTCAGTAGTCCGAGTCCAACCATATTATAAACACTTGTTTATGAATCATCGATATGAACCTGATGTTCTGGAAAAGGTCACCGTATCCTGCCCCACTGGTGAAACACCACAAAATCTCATGCAAGGCAAATATACTGTTCACTGAAATCAGACTTCGTTTTTGTCAGGTTACGTCAAATAACAGAATTTCCTCTTACTAAACTGTTTACGTTTTGAAGCTTTTCTTCCTTTTCTCTCAACGATATCCCTTTGTTTTCTTCAGTTACCATGATGCGCACATTTGAATATTACCCGTAAGGGCAGAGCAATCGTCTGAGGACAAATCGATATTAATTGCATATTGAAATTGACATACACACATTAATTGACACTGACATAAAACAGATAAATTGTTTTCATACAATCTGTAACGCACACATCTGTACACAATGATGTCACAGTCTGTCATTGTTGACCCCATTTCGTTTTCAAGGCCTTATAATTAAATGTGCTCTATAAGTGTCCATACAAGGGAGACAATACAAATGAACATGCGAAATATTTTACGTGATCGTCGTAGTTCACGCAATATGTCATTGTTGACGTAACTGAAACATTGTTGTAGAGGTTATGTGTATTGACGTCACAAAAGAACATTAACGAATGATGTCAGCATGATATGACCTCACAGTATCATCGTTGAGGTCAAGCTGATCCTGTTGGCTTCTCGAAACGATTTTCACGCACTGCCTCTTCATAACAGTAATAACAAATTGAAAAACTTCTAGTTTTAGATAATAAAGTACATTTGAGCGGGTAAGATTTTCTGGATAGTATCCAAGGTTAGGTCACGAATTGGCGTCACCAACACAGATGCTGGAACGGGACACTGAAGGTGTTATGGGAAGGGTGGGCGTGTACCTCCAGGCGTTGGTACCGACTGTTCTCTGACAATGACAGTGCCTGCCGTATGTACCATCACACGTTTTGGGTATTTTCGGTAATTGAAGCCTAATATTGACACATTTGCAAACAGGGTTTAGGAAACGGAAAATTTATGACTCTAGAATAACCCCAATGACACAAGTGTAGACAACTCCATTTAAGCTTATCTATAAACAAAACAACAACAAAAAACTTTAACCAACTGAATTCCGCATGAAATTAGCAATAGTGAAAAATATATGTCAGTTTTAATTGTTTTCGGGTTCGAGTCGAAATAGGTGCTAGGCGTGTCATATACAGAATCATCAACAATGCACAACAATATCCGAAATTTACACGCACCTGGTTTAATACATGTAATACTGTATGTTAAAGGTACTGTGTATGAGCCTATAAACTGCAACTACAAACGTTGGCCTTTATAGTGGAATACGTTCTAACTGACAATACCTTGCTTGTCACTGTCAACATCTGAATAATAAGCTATCCAGCTTGTAAAGTTAAATCAACAGACATATTCAGTACTTTTATTGCAGATATTGTTTTCTTGAATAGCTGTTGTATTGTGTGAATTAAGTATTCACTGAAGTTCAAAATCTGAGTTTGAATGAACGCAGAGAATATCAAGGAGCGAAAGCAAAACTTTTATCGGTCAAATCTCTTAACCAGCACATCGGTGTGTTATGATTTATTATTTCCCAAGGGAATGGACGAAAAGGGATACCATCGTGAGTATCGTGGGAGTGATCTCCCTTTGCTAAGATTGACGTAAGAAAAAAACCCATAACCCAAGCAACTACTGTGTTAGTATTCATAATTTTCCTCTTCAAAACCATTTTTGATCTGGATTCTTAAAACGAATCTGAATCCATAAACCGTTATATTCATTGCGACCACACTGGATCCAAAGATAACTTGAGGTTCCATGTTTGAATCGTGCCCAACAATCTGCTAACTCTATTAACACTTTCCTCCAAAGTATTACCCAACAGTATCTTGGCCCTATATATAGCTAGTCAGTGCTACCTACAGTCTTTAAAGATACTTTACTTTAATGTTTATAATCAACCCATTGAGTACGTATTATCTATTTAGGCAACTATATGACATTGTCATTTTAAAACAAGAAAGTAAACTAAGAGATTTAGTATATTAGCATTCTGTATTCTTCTATATTTTGGGGTGTTTTTGTTTTTACCACAGTTTGCATCTAGATATGCAGCACGTGTGTCTGTCAACAGTGGAGTAAGATCGGAGAAAGTAATGACTTGGGTAATTGCCTACAACCCACGTCCTCGAGGACACAAATACCCGCAATCCGTCCCTGCACTCACTCACTCACGTACACGCCCGCACGCCACACTTTCACATGCACGCACGCAATACTTTCACACGCACGCACACATGCCTCACTTTCACACACTACGCTTTCACACGCACGCACTCTCACACACTCTCACACACACACACACACACACACACACACACACACACACACACACACACACACACACACACACACACACACACACACACACTAAAAGCCGCGGTTTAAAAACATCACCACCATTAATTGATAAACATGCTAACATGTTTTCCAGCCAACGATGTTTTTAGAGGGAACGAAATTCAGCTGGCGCCGGAGTTTGGACTTAACGTAAGCGAGCTAATCCTTAATTCCTCGTAGCTCTAATGTCTTGGAAAACCATTACATACCATGCCTTTACGTGTTAACATGGAGGTTATAGGGTAAAGCCTGGTGATTTAGAGCCAATAAAACAACATTTATTTTGTGTATTACGGTAATGAGGGTTTTATGTGCCCCCACTGTGACCGTGTTATTGAATAAAATAGTAAAGAGTTTAACGTGCAAAAAACCGATGTTGTAAAATGATGAAAGGGAGAGTCATGCAGTCATAATACATGCTGAGTTGACTTAAACAAACCCAAGGGGTCGAGTTGTTGATTAAATATTGTCCAATTATTGCCACTTTGTCAGCAATATATGCTTTGATACCATACAACACTTGCCTAATACCCATGCAGAACGATATAATCATCATCATCATCATAAGTGTATGTACTTAACATTATTCAATCTTACAACACAGTCTGTTTTTGTTTGATAGACGAATCACTGGTGTTGTTTGTTACCAAAGCCAATATATTACACAACACATAAAATATAATATAGAGGAAATAGAACGTAACCGCCTCTAAAACTCTGGTGAATGTGCTTAAGATAATTTACCTGATGTTGTGGCATGTAGTATTATTGAACATTATGAGTCATATCAATAGCAGGGTGACTGGTTACATTAATTCCATTTCCTAAAGACTTCGTCTCTAAAAGCTCCATACACGCTGGTGGCGCGTAAATATATTACATAAACCTCAAGGCGGTTTGATTACACTCGTACAAGTCATGCGACGGGATTCTGATAACAGTATCCAAACTTATTTACTGGGATGTTTTCGTTTTATACACAATTTAGTGCCCTCACAGAGCCGAAGCATATCACTTATCAACATCAGCCAATCAAATCGCTTCTTCCTATAGAACGGGACAAATTGTTTCAACAAGGCTATCGGGCGGGAGAAAGTATGTCAGCTGAATTCCACATTCGTAATATTTTTGAGACAACGAAATAAGTATCGCCCTTATGGATATTACATGCATATAGATCATGTACAAAGGTATGTGATTCAATTGTATTTCATCGCTGGTAAATGACAATTACGACACAAAAATCCGAAAGAGTGGTGCACTTCATGATCAACATCTAAATTCTCCCAAAGAATTGGCTAGCGTCTGTTATGAGACGGCGGCCATATTTGCTTGTACGGCTTTCAAGTGTAATGGTGGATTTGAAAGCTTGCGACTTTTAACAATTTTCCTGGTGGCGTACAGGGAATACATACCACAAATTGTATTAATTTTGAAGGACAAGATGCCATAGTTGCCATATATAATATTAATGGCACTGGAAAGTGGTAAGTACGCTGAAAATTTACCTATTTCTTCCCGTATGTTTTTGAGTGTATTTGAAACCCCGACTCGACCAGAGCGGTTATAGTTAATATATTTTGTTACATGTATAAATCGCATTATTTGACATGTTGTGCATATACTTAGGGTTGAAATACTATTTTATACAGGAAAGCGATTACGTTTAAACGTCCCAATAAGTGGTTACTGGATTTTTTTGTCAGTACGCAGAAGCCGCGACCGCCATTTTGTCTGTTTCAAGCTCAAGACGGGAGGGAAAGTTGCGTCGCCATTTTTACCCGCTGTAGCCAAGATCTGTGCAAAAAATAGGGATTACTCAGAATTTTCAACTTTTTCGTATGTGATGGTAATGACAACAAATTGTTGATGTGTTGCTGTAAGTGTGTCAAGTTGGCAATAGATAGGGCCTTTGTTCGGCGGTTGTCCTTTGTCTACGCGCTGTGTGTTGAGCCGAGAAGATACCGTGTCAGTAGGTCGGTTTTAATTTTTAGGATATTGTTAGTAATTTTTGTGTTACAAGGAGATTAATTGTAATATTTTCTGCTTGTTTCAGATGCCATCGGCGTTTAGAAACCGACGTTACCGCTGCCATCTCATCCAAAATGAACACCTTTGGTTGACGGAATTTTCAAGAATTGTGGATTTATCAAATTATTTCTTGAAATAATAATTTATTTTAATTTTTCTAACAATTACCTGATATATCCTACATATTGGAGTGATTGTCACATCCGATGTGGCAAGTTAAGCCAATCAACTTTGTGAACACCGGAGAGTTGCCGACTCGGGTGGACATGATGGACTGTTGTGACAAAGCAAATCGAATCAACAACGTGTAACACTGTGTTACCCCCAACATGGGTAGGGAGGGGGACACGGGTTTGACCAATCCGACCTATGCAAAATGGTTGATTGAAGCTATTAAGAAAGTTAAACAACAGAAGCAGCGGCCGAGTCTTGAGCGTATAAGCAATGCAGTCCGTCAAAACCACAAGGTCAGTAAAGAATCTATCGAGGAACAACTTGAGCTCGCTGTTACTGATGGAATTGTTCTGAAAACTTATAACAAGGGATTGATCTCTTACAAGGACCCATCTCGTATCGTTCAGCTACAGTCTCGAAACCTGAAGATCGGAAAGAAAGATGACCTAACTAAAGTCATCGTAAGAACCGTGAGAGAGTTGGGTGAGGTTGGAGGTTCTAGCCTGAAAAGCATTGAGAAGTTTATCAGGAGAAGTTATAACATTGAACTGTGTGATGGAGTTGATTTGGCACAGCAAATAAAATTGTCCATTAAATCTGGCATTCAAAAAGGACTACTGTTGCAGGATGGAAGATTCATTAAACTTGGTACTGCACCTGTCAGTGAATCTGATTCTGCTGGCTCCAACAGCAGCAACAGTTTTCACAGCAGTATTGATGATGACAAACACTTCGATGACATCATTTTGCCGTTTGAAAGACACAAAGTAAGTATTAATAAATGACAACACATACTGTATCACAGTGATATATTAGCTTTTATTGAGGATATACCTTTATTATTTTGAACATGTTTTTTATGTGTATTTTCTGCAATCGATTTTAGAAGTGACTGTATTCAGTGGTTTATTTTCTCACTCATGTTAAAGTCTATTAACTAACAAAATATATACCTTGTGGCCTTTTAGTGTATTATAAAGCTTACTTTATATATTCTGAATTGATATGCAGCTTGTCACAAGCGCATGCACGGTAGTAAGTTGTTGTGATTCCTGCATCACATGGCTTTGTTTACCCTGGAAGCGTGTCTAGCCAGCAATCCTGTGGTTGGCAAGTTCTCGCTTTGCCAGAACAGAACATTCTTCTGTATACCTAGGTCGCGGTCCTGCTAGCTTTATTTGCCCCATACCAAACAAAGGGGTTTAAACATTTACATTTGTCTAGCTGGTTGACTTATTCTTTATGCGGTTGGTGAATTTAGACACCAGTTGTAATTGTTTTATGTGTGGAACCTAGTCAAATCTTCCTAAACACATGTGGAAAAGAGAGGAAGTCAGTAATTGGCTGATTAAATTTGTATCATGAGCAACAGAGATAAATGGTGTATTTGTAGGATGAGGTGTCCAATATGCCCTTAACAGTGAATTAGCATGCCCACTGTGCCTGCCTGCCTGCCCAACAGCTCAGAGGCGCAACGAGCCTTGATAATGTCGCAAGTAGCCCTTGTATTGATTCTGACGGCACTTGCCTAGTGGAAGCCATAGTAGCACAATCTGTTTGTGTGGTGTTTCTCTTTCGCTGATTGATCATGTGATACCTCTTCCTTGATGGCTGCTCAATCAATACGGCCATAGGGAGCTGGCTTTCTGAAAAGTGTCATTAGTGTAACAAGGCAAGTGCTGCATAATATCTGATACTGTTACACTCTAACTGCCACTAGATTAATTGCTGTTGGGAGACAGTGGGGAGATTCAGTAAATTATTTAGCTATTTGGACTGGAAAGATATAATTATCTTGTAGAATCTTAAGTTAGAGTATGCATATGGTATGTTTCATACACAGTATATGTCAACAGATAATTGTCATGGAAAGCAGTTGACATGATTTGTGACATTTGGTTATCTTGCCGATAAGAGTAGGATATATTCCAAGATAGTAATCCATCTTGGGAAACTGTCACATACTAAAGTAAAGGAGAACTGTAAAAATATCTGGTGAAATTTGTCTTTCTATTTTTGTGCACAAATAGTTCTGTTAGAAATGTTTTTTTTGTATATTTTATTCATTTCATGTATGTTGTCATTAGCCAAGGTTCCCCATTCTGAGTCCTAAAGTTGAAGATAGACATAGAATCTGAAGCATACATTTAGAAAGAAATAGTAACATTTTAAATTAATGTACTTATTTTGCAGTTCATAATTTTCTGTTTTGTGTTGAAACGAAGTTACAAAATAATATTATATAGCTTTACTTTTACATATCATAACTGAGTTCTCAATAATTACTCCCAACTGTGGCAGAACGTACATGTTTAGTAGTTTGATGAAGTAACTTTGTATTTAACAGTAATTTTTCTGTAAGAGTTGGTGGTTGGATACTGATGTTGTGACAGAGGATTTAATAGCTTCTCAAGGAGGTCAAGTCATAGAACCTTTTACATGGCTAGTTAATGTTTATTATAAGAGCAGGTTAATGGCCTGGAGGTGTTAGTGGTTTGGAGATTTGCTTGCTGTGTTCATCAAAGTTTTCCTTCATGTTTATGGTTTTGAGGAATGACATGTCCAGTATTATGCACCACCGATTGTAGATTGTACTGGACTACCATACCTGTGAAGATCGGGGGTTAGAATTAGTCTTCAGTAACCCATGCTTGTTGTAAGATTCAACTAACGAGATCAAGTGGTCAGGCTCGCTGACATGGTTGACACATGTCATTGTATCCCAATTGCGTAGATCGATGCTCATGCTGCTGATCACTGGATTGTCTGGTCCAGACGCAATTATTTAAAGACTGCCGCCAGATGGCTGGAATATTACTGAGTGACGCGTTAAACAACAACCAACCAAACTGGACTACCCATTGTCGTACAAACACACAAGGAAGCATTTAAGTTGGGACAAATGTAACTGCAATTATTTCCTCATTCTATAAGGGATTCAACTTCAGTTAGAAATGTAATCAAATATCATGTATTGTTGTATACTGACATGACAGTATGACAAAGTGGCACTAGCCTTGTATTCCCAACTATTTTATATTAGGTAAAGAAAGCATCCATACGACAAGTAGTTAAAAAATCCGAATCAGCAGTTTTTGTATATAATATCTAAGAACTGTTTGTTAGCATCAGTTGTCAGAGACATTTTTAACCTTTGCTTCAGGAGTGCTGAGTAAAGTTATTGGTTCATGTTTACATATTTGTTTTTCAAATGTGTGTGTAGTGCATTCATGGGGATGTACGTTTCCTTCATATCCTCAGTTGATACAGTTGGTTTTATTACAGGTCTGAGAAGACCTATGCATTGGATTACATGATACAACAAATTCAGATGTATTGCAATCATATTGTTTGCTAGGACTTTGAGTTACTTTGTGATGATTAGTGTCCAGACATAACTTCACATCTTGACTGAATACTGGTAACCCATTACGTGTGAACATTGGCATGGAATTAGTTGTATGGACTGTCTTTAAAATATGATGGTGTGATTGCTTAAATACAGATATTGTTCAGATCTGAGAAGAATTTGATTAAGTTTTAAGCCACCTAAAATATTATATTTCAACACATATATAATGAAATCAAGAGTCTTAATTTGAGCTTTCGGTTTCAGAAACTTGCCAAGCCACTGCCACTTTGTAGCTTCTGTCTAGGACCAGCAGAGAAAAACAGGGACGGCAAATTTGAAGAACTCATCTCGTGTGCAACTTGTGGTAGTAGTGGTAAGATATTGACAAATTTTGTATCTAGTAAAATATCAAATGTAAATTCAAAAAGTGTTAAAGAATGTGAAAGAAGTAGAATGATTGATTGTGCTGCAAGATGTATTCTGATGTTTCATTTGTTTTGAATTACAATGATTGTTTATGAAGATGGTACTGGGTTTAGAAAAGAATTTTTGTAGATGTGTGACAGTCATGTGGGGTAATTAAGGTACTTAAACTGGGCACATTTGTGGTCTCCATGTCCTCAGAATTGATGACTGAACAAGCACAAAGTTTTAGCCTGTGCTTCATTTAAACCCGACTATATTATGCCCTTCTGGCTTCGTCACTTCACGGAGCTCTAACGGAAATACACAAAACAAGATTGGTAGTGTTTGAGGGCGCACATACACACTCACACACTTGTAGAAGTGGTGACCTAACTGCACAGAAGATGACTAGCTGTTGATGACAAAGTGACAGTTGGTGACAATGGCTGATCTCGCTAACAGATGAAAATTGAATTTCTGCAAATACAAAGTTAAAGGTAATAATGTTAAACTCACTGAGCTAACATATTGAATAGTTCTGTTTTCAGACTGATTTGTTGTAATTAATGTTGTTTATCTTTCATCTTCACCAACACACAGCACAGATTACTGAAGTTATGTAGATTATTGCAGAACACTCCTGTCTGCAGTTAATATATTTAACTGAATATTTTTTCCCCAGGTAAAGGTAAACAAGTTAAATGAAAGATGTTGTGTCAGGCTTTTCATTCTTTCATTGTTTTGTAATCATGTGATAAACACTCTGCTCTTAAACTAATTTTGAAAAACTCTTCAAAATGACACATCAATAAAAATGATGAAACAAATATGTTTGCTCATTAAATTATTATTTCAACAACCTGTGCTTAAAACAAAGATTGTTCTATTTCAAATGTGAAAGTCAAGCAACAAGTTATTTATAGCATCCCTGTGTTGTCCTATTTGCAGAAGCAGCATTTGAGTGGCCTGGAATAATCATTTTGATATTGAATTTACCTCCCACCTGAACATAATGTTTATTGACACATCAAACTACATTCTGCACTGTTGTTGTTTGCACTTGAAGATCCTGTAGGTTGATGTTCAGACAGTCTGACTGTCCTGGACTTGGCTGTCTGTAATCTGACACACTGTTCCTAAGGTATTTGATTGCCTTGTTAGTGTACATTCCTGAGGTACTGAGGCCTCTGGAAAACATCAGTGATCCCAACCAATGATACTCCCTACCTCGACTAATCTGGGAACATAAGTAGCTACAAACCTAAACACCTCTTTCTGCTGTACCAGGCTTTTGCAATAACTGCAGCTGGCAACTTATCACCCCAGGCCATTCCCAGTTTCATATTACATAGTTGAATACAGAAAACCTTGCATTATTCTGTGCTGGGTGGCGTATGTCAGTCTACATGTGTTGTTCATTGTCATTGTAGAAGTTGTAAGACATGTTCTGTGTAATCATTCATTAGCTATTATTAATTATCTCTATAGTTTCTAGGCTTTGGCATAATGCACCATAGTTTGAAACTATATATTTTGTGTGAGGATAACATAATTTTAGGATGGTTAGTTGGGTCTTAACAGGTTGATGTGGTTCAAATCACTGAATTATTGATGCAAAGACCAAAGGAGCTCTCAATGGCCCTTTTAAGTTTGGACCCTGCAAATGTATGTTTTTTGTGATTTTCACTGAAAATTGGGAAGCAAACACATAACTTTACACTTGCCAGCAAAGGCGTAAAAACATTTACAACACTTACTAAATTTGGTTTACTATAATTGGTACCACAATATGAAATTGGCAGCTTTATCTCACGAGTACAAAATATCTGTCATTCAATATCAGTCCAAAAAGGGTGTCAGTTGCAATGCTTACATTTGCACCAAAGCTATTTGTTTTCAGTGCATTCTACAATAATTCATTGCAAATTCTTTATAACATCTTTCAGATAACTCAGCTTGATGTAAGATCCAAATATCTGACTGTGCAAAATTCATTTGTGTCGTTTGCCTGATATTTCTGAATGTCGAACTGAGACAATGATCTTTTTCTGCTGTAAGTTAATTGTCAGTTGAAACATCTTTCTTGTATGCAAAACTTCAGGTGCCATGTAAACCAGTTTCATTTTCTGATGGTTTTGTTTCCCTCATTTGATAGTGTGTTTTTGGTTTCAGGTCATCCAACATGTCTCAAATTTGCCCCCGAACTGGCGATGAAAGTGAGGAGATTGCGATGGCAGTGTATAGACTGCAAAAGATGTTCATTTTGTGGGAAGTCTGGAAAAGAGGTTAGTAAAACTGATTTTGTATAGGATATTCTGATAAAAAGGCTTCCTTTGTACAAAGTGATATTTTTGCTACAACTCTCTAAAACATTATGGCATGGTTTAAAATACAGACAGTTGTCTTTTTTTTATTCAATATATACTTTGTTATTACTGGTGATTTTGCTCTAGAATTATGATGAGATGACTTGTGTAACATACCCAACTCTGTGCATTGGTTTTAGCAAACACAATCAAAACATTGTATTAGCCAAACCTGTAATTACTTCCTTATATTATTACATTTAATAGCATGTCGAGAAGGTTTATTTGAGATAAGCATGGTTATTGATGCTGCAACTGCAAGTTTTTTTGACAACTGTTATTGTAAAGAAATCTTACAAAATGTGTCTGCTCTTTCAGGACAATATGCTCTTCTGTGATGCCTGTGATAGGGGATATCATATGCAGTGTTGTGATCCACCATTGAACAAAGCTCCAAAAGGTGAGGTTGATTGAGATGATTAAACTTGAGAATAGGTTATTTGTTATTTTTTTAGTAAAGAAAATAAAGTATTTTTCATCTAACAATATGTTAACTAATAATCAGATACAAAATAGTGGTGTGAATCTTATTGCATTTGTTCTTCCTGAATGTAGGGGCATGGAGCTGCAACATATGTGATCCAGATAGGGGTAACAAGAAAGGAAAGAAATTCCTTGAAATGGCAGCACGATATACACAGCGGCTGAGGGCCAAAGAAAAGGCAGCTAAACTTGAAAAAGCAAAGGCAGTCCTCAGTGCTGCAAGAAAGTGAGTACATTTGAATTCATTCAGGTTACATATCATGTATACTTTTGGAAAGCTATTCAAATACCTTTCTAGATGTACTTCAGATTCAGTTGAGAAAACTCTACATATTGCAGTAACTTTAATCAATATGAATTTTCATTTGTAGGCAATATGAATCTGTGACTTCTGGGAAGGGCCTACCTAGAGGGCGGCGTCCAAAGCACAGAATTCCTGGTACTACTTCCATGTCCTCATCGTTGTTGATGGCTACAACAGGGAATAATGTCCATCTGAAACACTACAGGTCCCTGGAAAATGGTCACAGCAGCAGAGAGGACAAGGAAAACACAAGGGCAGCAGCATCAACGGCAGAAAATGGCAATCATAGCTCCTCCTCATCCTCATGTGAGTCAGACAGTGATGAGGACTTGAGCATCTTACAACCTTTCATGGCTGTCAACAAACCTAAGGGCTTAATAGATGGCCTATCACGCTTCTTTACTCCGTCTAACAAGAGAAAATCTCGAGTCTCACTTAGTTCTTTAGAAGCTGACTTGGCAGCTCTAGTGTCTAAGCCAAAACCTGGTCGACCCAGCAAATCGCGACAGGCTGCAAAAAAATTGTTGAAAAAATCCAAACTTTTACAAGTGAATAAAAGACGCAGATTTCATAACTGCCCACCAGGTAGTGGTCAGCTTAAGGGCCTTTTTGATGGCCTTTCACACCTGTTTACTGCACAGGGGGATAGGAAGCGTAACTTTCCAATTTACACACCACCAAGGGGCATGCAAAAGCTCTTGTCAATACAGACTAGTACACCTATTCAAGACTCTTTCTTGGATATTGAGATTGATAAACCAGACAATCCCTTTGAATTTACTGGCATAGAGAGCCCTGTAATTCTCCCACCTATCAGGGGTAGGGGAAGGGGAATTCACAAACCTGACTGGAGTGACTTAGGATTTCTCTCGACGTCCCTCAACAAGCACAAAGGACGAGGACGAGGGGTTTCCACGCCAACCGAAACCTCTATTGGCAGAGGGCGGGGGCGAGGCCGTGGACAGAAAAAGGGTAAGATGATTGATGATACTTACACAAAATCAAGCGATGTGGCTATGTCTTAAGGCAGAGTAGCTAGTGAGAAAGAACTGTGTATTCATGAAATGGGCAGAATCTGAAACCAGACTTTAGAAATGGGCAGTACTTGTCCTGTTTGTGTACAATGCCATTGTGAATGCATTGATCATCATTCTGTCTTTGGAAACCTCCTATCCTATCCTGGAACGACTACGAAGATGTTTCACTCTTGATCAACTACCTACCTGCTACCCAAATTTGAAGGAAAGCCTTCAGTGACGAACATGTGCATGGCTCTCACTCTCCAGTTACCTCTTCCTACCTAGATACTCACTCACTCAGTCACTCACTCACTCACTACCCATTCACTCACCCACTGTCCTCTTCTGTACTTGCATCACAATAACCAAATAAATAGGCAGATAGTACAAGCCATGAAGATGCCATGTAGTTGTTAATGTATGTAGCTTATGTCTGCTTTACTCTCGTAGATTAGTTTGGGTTTGGTTGGTTGCGGTGTGTTTTTTTAATCTGCCAAGTCAGAAATGGTTTGTCACACAACACTCCTATGGAACACAGGCAAGTTGAACTGAGAGTTTTCAGGAAAGTGTGTTTTTAACACATGGCTTCAATAGAGCCTTTGATGTAACCAGTCATAGTTTGTTGAAACCAGAGGAAATCAACATGGGTATTCTATGGAAATCAATGTGCAAAGATGTGTTTAGTTCAATTGCGTATCTCAGTGAGAGACTGCTCCAGTTATTCATCTCTCACAACAACCCATGCTTGTAAGATGTGATCAAGTGGTTATCCTCTCTGACCTGTTCAATGCATGGCATTGTATCCTAATTGCACAGATGCTCAAATGTCAATCATTGGATTGTCTGGTCCAGACTTGGTTATTTATAGACTGTCATCGTATAGCTGGAAAATTGCTGAGTGAGGGATTAAACAACCAATGAAATAAATGTAAAGTCCATCTTACTAAAAAAATATGATTGAAGTTTTATGCTACTGTTGTTGCTGAAGATATTACATGTGTCTAGATTAATATCCAAAAATGTCTGAAGTATTTATGAAAAAAAGAGAAATATGGCCAGATCCACTTTGACAGCAGATCTAGCACACCTTGCTCAGTTGTTCCATAGGATGGACGGCATACCATTTCTAACTTTTTGAAGTAAACATTTAACCAAGTTAGTTACGTGCAGCTTTCACTATTAATGTTCCGGCACTTTTGAGATGCTGCTTGTTTGTAATGAAGAGCCATGTCTCTATTTTCATGATATTTATTAAATATATGTATGTGGATCATCATGCTTGATCTAGTTTCATGTATTTTGTTGTAATGTTTGTGAAGTAATTCTGATCATTTTTCATTTTTCATTTCAGCTTATTGTTTCTGCATTCTTTATATTGCATTTGAACAGATCTGTTTTTTGAGTTAAATTTGATATGTTGCTTGTAGTTACAGAAGTCTGTCTATATTTCTTTTCGTAGGAAATAAGACTTCAGCTCTGGCATCACAATATTTAAGCATATAGGATCTATGCTTTCCTTCATTATTTAGGTAATGTGTTGCCCAGAAGACTCCACAGTTGACCACTGTTTAGTATGACTGACAAAACAACAAGTTGATTGAGCCACATTAAGACGTAGGCTAACGGAGGTTTGAGGGGATGCCAGCATATAACATGGAAAATACAGTAAAGCCATCTGTCCAAGTCTGGTGGTTGAAACGTTTGAGGTCAACTGATATGCACCGCGACCAATCTGAGCCAGATTGTATCAATTAGTCGCAATAAACAGTGGATGTTGATGAACTAGTTATTTCGTTATTGGGGACAGTTATATAATCTTTTATTTTTCAGTGTGACACAAATGTAGATGTTTTGCAAAAGAGAATGTATGTTACATCTCAATGTGTGAATGCTATTGAGATGGCCTTTTACTCAATGAGAGTATCATCTTCATAAACTGTCATTGTAATATTGTTGATGTATAAGACACTTGTTCCTTTTCCCCTCAAGGTATGTATCAGTGTTCTGTGTTACTGAATGTGGTGAAAGTCTCTTGATACCAGCCTGTGGAACGGGTGAAGAAAAGATGAAACTAGTTTTCATAAGAGACCTCTAATGTCAACATGTTATCCATTACTTACACTTCAGCAAAATGAATATGATAAACTCCAACTGGAATGTCATCTATTATAAATGAGGTTATTTTGTTTGTGATAGAATATGTGATAGAAACTTATATTTTCAGTCATCTGTTGTTTGTTCTCTTAATGTTTGGCCAAACCCTTGAAAAAGACAATTTCTACTGGTTTGTGTGATATCTTAATTACTCTGAAGTTACACAGGGACTAAACACTAATACCAGTTGTATCTCTGTATAGCTGGACATGTGGGTAAGGAAATGCCATAAAGAATGCAACTGTTAAATAGGAACACTGATCCATACTGTGAGAATGAGGTGATTTGCTGTACTTTTTGTTGATATGATTTAATACTTGTTTATGTTGTGTTACAGACAAGGAGAGCTCTGCTGCCCCCCTGCCTCACATGGTGACTGAGGGTGATATCGATCTGTTCAAGCAGGCACAGGAAAAGGCACAGCAGTCGCTCGGACAAGTGAGTTGGCCCAGCGGCTATGGTCACAAGGTCTCTGTCGTAACATGCAAGCACTGCTTTGCTTTCCTTTCTCTTTCATTGTTTAATCTTGTTCATATGCCATCATTCATTATGCATCGTGAAAAATATACATGCTTTGAGAACAATTTGTTGCTTTTCATAATGTTTGAATTTGTATTTGTGTAACTTGATGAAAACTAATCAGTTTCATGTATGAATGTCTGCTTGATTATGAAAAACCATTAAGTAAAAAAGTATAAGCTCTTAGATGTAAACTTCGTTTGCTAGCTACGACCTGATCTGAAAAGTGTAAATACAAAGCATTGTCAATATTAATATGTGTAAATGGATCCCCCTTATCACTTCCTCCAGAAACAATTTAATTAAATTTTATGTTTTTGTTTTAATTGACTAAGTTGCTGGAGGGTAGTAGTAACAGGGTTTATCTATATTTATGAAATCCATAACAATTTAGTTCAGTTTTGATGATAGACATCACTGTGTATTTGTTTTGTGAAGCATTTTTCTCTTGAATGCCTATCATGGCTATATCATGTCATTTGTGATGTCTTCCCATTGTCTGTCTGCCCATGCACTCATCCCTGTTTTTTTGCATTGCATTCTTTATATTTTTGACATTATTGCTGCTTTTACCTGCTTTTCAAGTTTCACTGTTAAAAAGTGGTTCTTTTATTGTTTCAACAACAATTTTTATAAACAATTAGTGACCCTCTTTCGAAATGTTACTAAGGTATTTTATCGATATATTTGTAATTTTGTCAGAAAGTGTCAGATTGTGGACAGCGGTCTCAATGCAATATGGAAAATAAAAGTCCCAATAAAGGGACAGAACCATTGTCATTTTGTAAATATGAAGAAACTAGTCTGCAAAAACCCCACCTTTTTCCCCACTTGCTCTTATTTTCATCAATGTGTAGTCTTTTCCAAGAAACTCTTTAACGTCAAACAAAATGTGTATTTAGATATAAAGGTATGAAGCTCAGGTATAATAGAAATATTTTGTTGTTAATTGGGAAGTGCATTTGATGAGAAAATGAAATTCTACATGATGTCTATGGTTTGTGAAATTGCATATTGTTTGCCTTGCTTCCAATGCCTTTGCATGTGTTGATATCATTTATATATTTGTCTGGGTGTTGTGTCTTCCCCATGTAACTGGCATTCTGAGTGCTGGAAATTAGCTGTGGCATTAACACAAAACTTAAAGTATAACCAATGTTTGTTTTGCTTCTCAGAGCTCCAACACAGGAGATGCTCCGTCCGAACCTCAACACCGATTTCCACCATGTATCGAATTTGGGAAATATGAGATACAAACATGGTACTCATCTCCATACCCACAAGAATATGCCAGGTAAGTTCAGACCAATATTGTAACAAGTTGCAAATAACGAGTATACAAAAATGGAAAATGTTACATGCATCTTATGTGTGACATTGGAATGTAGTGTCAATACATTGCAGTTTTCAAAATAGGTTTAGGTACTGGGGTCCTTGAGGTTTACTGGGTTAATTTGAACCTCAGACAACCTTGGGTTAAGACAAGGACATTTTGACTTTTGTGCTTAATTTCAAACACTACATAAAATCTGACAGTGAAGAATAAATGTAGACATAACTTCCAATTCATATTGAAAATACCTTGTTTTCAGGCTACCAAAGTTGTACATATGTGAATTTTGTCTGAAATATATGAAGAGCAGAAGCATTCTCCAAAGACACATGGTAAGTCAATATTTTGTTTCCATTTATTCATTATATTTGAGTCCGTAAAATAATATAGGTGAAAGTTATCATAGAAAGAAACCCAGAAAACTTAAGTACTGATAGTATACTGGACCATGTTAATTGTTTAGAAGATCTTTATACTTCAGAATACTCTTCTACAATTAGACAGACTTTTTTTCTTATTTTTGTCTCAGACAGACCTCATCCATGGAAGGATGTTCAAGTATTTTTCTCAGGATTAATAAAAATTGTCAGCTACTCAGCTATCTTTTTGGTGTTTTGTGTGTGTGTGATATGTCATTAAATTGTAAATATTTAAACTTATCCTATGTCTCACGGTATGCACCTCTCTTCTTCTTCTACGACCATGTGTGGAAACGTGCTGTAGGCTAAGTTGAATCAAATCTTACTGGCCTCTGACCCGCCCTGACCTCCCCCCCCCACTCCGACATCAGCACCTGTCAATCATCTCCGTAAGCATGCAGCTCGCTCAGATGATCATGTGACTACCTGTGCCTGACATTCTCTTTCTTGTCGCTACGTCGTGTGGACGTGTGCTTGTCTCTAAGAAAGCCTGATTGTGTTTCTACAATGGGAAAATCGAATCGCAATAGTGCTAAAAAGCACAAACAGTGCGATAAATGCAACAGCAATTTCTTGGCGGCAGACCCACATGCTTTATGTGTTGATTGTTTAGGACGTTGTGAGTGGTCTCAACGTTGCACTTTTTGTGCAGACCTCAACAGTGATGCTTTTTCTGAATATCGCCGGGTAGCTTGTAGACGTGTGTCAGACAGGGATCGTCGTCAACCATCTGAGGGTCCTTCTGCGTCTAAATGTTCTAAGACAGAACGCCGTAAGAAAACTGCAGTCTGACGTTCGAAGTCCCCATCGCCTGCTGAAGATTTCCTAGGGGAGGCGTTGGATTCTTACCTCAGTGAAAATTTACGTCAACTTTTCCGTCAGCGTGCGTCTAGCCCCATCACTTTAGAAGACTTTTCACCACCTAAGGTTGTAGTGTTGTCTACGTCTTCTCTTCAAACCCGTCCCTCTTCGGTGATACCTATTCCTCAGTGCACTTCTGTTCCTGAGGTGGGGGTTTCTCGTGCGGTGCTTGGTGTGATTACTAGCATTACATCTCAAATGACGCTTCCTTGCAGTGCAGCGCTTTTCACTTCGGTGGTTGATTCTACGCCTGTTTCCCATTCAGGGCTTGTGTCGAATGTGTAAATTGCTTCGGGTGCAGTGGATGGTTTCGGTGCGGTGCTCTCTCATCCTCGGTGGGGTTGACAGGTCTGTCAATGATTCCAAGAGTGCCTTTTTCCACATCTATCCCTTATCATGTGCCGTTGGGTTATGGACCACCACGTTATTCAAGTGCGTCGTTTGCTGCTCCAGCACCGCTTACATCAGGACAGTTACCTGTTGGTAGAGCGCCGCTTGTTACCGATCCCATGATGTCATTCAGAGCGCCGCTTGCTTCCAGTTCGGCCCTCTTGTTTGCCTCTGGTTCGGCACTTACTCCTGTTGTTCCCGATTTGGCGCTTCCTCCCGGTGTTCCCGGTTCGGCGCTTCACCCCGGTGCTCCTAGATCAGCGCTTACTCATGGTGGCTTTGGTTTGGCGCTTGCTCCCGGTGTTCCTGGTTCGGCGCTTTATCCCGGTTCGGCGCTTTATCCCGGTTCGGCGCTTATTTATGGCGGCTTTGGTTCGGTGCTTTCTCACAGTATTCCCGGTTTGACGCTTGCTCCCGGGGCTCCTGGCTCGACGCTTACTCACGGTGCTTCGGCGCTTACTCATAGTTCACTGGCTTCAAGGTTGACTCATGGGGCATTTGGTTCGACGCTTCCTCAGGGTTCAGAGCTCACTTCTCATGTGTCTAGTTCGGCGCTGGGTCCACTCGCCTGAGCTTTTGCTTCCAATGCCAGGGACCCTACGGGTTCATCGTTGCCTCATGGGGGTGTGCCTCAGCTTGATGTCTGTCTGCTCTCAGTGAGGTGCCTTGTCATCCCTTAGTGTCTGCATCTGTTTCGTCGGTTCCTCCTACAACGGGATCGGTGGTGAGATGTATTGTACCGGTATCCTGGAATCCGATGTCGGAGGTTTCGACTTCTCAACCTGTGGATTTGACGCCATTGTGCTAGCAGTAGTGTCAGCATTATGGCATCAGGCGCCAGCAACTTCCGCTGCTGTTCAGTCATCGGGTCCTTCGACCAATCCAGTTCCACTTTTAGAGGAGGTTCATCGTTCGACGACGCCATCTCCTTCTGATGGTACGGCACTGTCGGATGGTAGCGTGGATGCTGTTGACACACCTCAACTACTCATCTGGATTGCCGATAGCCTCAGTTTACAGCGTAGTAGCTCGTCGGCGGATATATTATGTCGGTTGCACATGCTATGTCCCATCAACAAGCGTATATTCGAGCGGCTATGGTCTTATTGCAAGAGCTATTTCAGACCATTCTGGATCAGTTGGCTCACTTCTTTTCGTATGTCACAGCTGTGCGTCGCAGGGGGCCTTTGCACTTATCCTCATGGGAGGATCGGTTCTGTACTGATCTCTTTCGGCAGCCGTGGTCTGGCAGATCTCTTTTCAACAGGGTGATTTGAGATGTCGCCAACAGAGTTGGTCAAGATGCTCATTTACAAGTGTCAGTGGAATTGTTGAAATTCCAGCGCGCTTGCAGGAGGAGGAATCGTTACGTTGGCGACGACCAGCCTTTTATGTTCTTGTCAATCCGGACCTGCGTGCAGGTTCTACTGCTTCCTTCCGTGGAAAGGGGTCCTTTGGCAGAGGATGGCCCAGCCGTCAATGTCGGGCGTTCTCGGCTTCACGACCAGCTTCCACTGCCGACCAGTCCACTTCGCAAAGGCCTGACAAACTTGATGACATTAGAACGCGACTAGGTTCTTCCACCTCCAGCCGTGCCCTTTCTGACTTCCCCAGTAGGCGGACGGCTTGGGACCTATGCTCCTAACTGGATCATCTTGGGAGACCCTTACGTCCTCTCCATGTTATCCACGGGGTTTCAGCTGCCAATCATTGGGGATCCTCCTCTCACTTTACATCCGGATCGCAGAACGTATCCCTCTCACCAGACGTCTGTTCTTCGATCCACAATAGACACCTTACTCAAGAAACTTGCGATCAAATCCCTGGGTCAGGCTCCGACCGTCCAGGGGTTCTGTTCTCCAATCTTGCTGGTCCCCAAGAAGGATTCGGACAAACTGAGGTTAATCTTCAACATGAAGATATTCAACGAGAGGTTTCTGCAGCCTCCGCCCTATTTTCGCATGGTATCGGTGGCACTCCTCAAGACCATTATCAAGCCGGGAGACTACATGGTCAGTTTGGATCTCCAGGATGCGTACCTGCACATCCCGATCTTCCCGGCTCATCGCAAGTTCCTTTGGTTTGTCTTCAAGGGCACCCACTATCAGTGGCGTGTCCTCCCGTTTGGAATTTCTTTGGCCCCGTGGCTGTTTACACGGGTAACGAAGCCTATCACCAGTTTCCTTCACCGCAAGGGAATAGTGTTCGAGGCTTACATCGACGACTGCATTCAGGCGCAGACCAATCATGCCCTTCTGCTTCGTCACATGCAGTTTGCGATACAGCTTCTTCGCCAATTAGGCTGGTTAATCAATCTGCAGATATAGGAACTAGTCCCTACGCGCCGTCTTCAATTCATTGGAGCAGTGTTCGACACAGAGGTAAAAAATATCTTTGTCCCGAGGGATCGTTTCTGCAAGATACAGCAATTGGTCTCTCTGGCACTGGCGCACCCCAGGACGCTTCGTCAGTGGCAGGAGCTCCTGGGCCTCTGGACATCGGCTCAGGCGTTGACCCTCAGGGGTCAACTACAACTTAGACCCTTGCAGTTCTTTCAGAGTGGGAGATCCCGTTGCCTTGATCACTCTACCTCTGGAGCTCCATCCGCATCTCCTGTGGTGGATGGAAGAATTGAATGTTTGCAACGGAGTTTGTTTAGGGCCGTTTGTTCCGTCTCACCACCTGTATATGGACGTGTCGCAACACGGGTGGGGAGCTCATCTTCTCAATCAACAAGTGGCAGGGTCTTTTGTCGATCGTGCCTGTCACATCAACGTTCTGGAAATCAGGGCGGTGATTCTTGCAATCAGTCATTGGCAGGATGTCCTACGAGCAACTTCCCTCATAATCCAATCGGACAACGCAGCGGTGGTTTGGCATATCAACAGGATGGGGTCCATGGGGTCTACTCAACTGCTGCAGTGGACCCAACTCTTCTTCGATCTGGTGGACTCTCTCAACGTCTTAGTCCGAGCCAACCACATTCCGGGGGTTGAAGAATGTCATCGCAGATTCTCTGTCCTGGCCGAGTCGTCCCTCTCCAACGGAATGGAGATTACATCCTCCGGTGTTCCAGACCCTTTGTCTTCCGTTGACGACTCCGACAGTAGATCTTTTCGCCACCCGATTCAACCTTCAGCTGCCTCAGTTTGTTTCACCGATTCCGGACCCTCTGACTTGGGACCTCGATGCTCTAGCCATTCCGTGGGAGGACCTGAACACTTACGCGTTTCCGCCAGTGGCCCTTCTTCCTCGCATATTAGTGAAACTGCATGCAACTCCGAGGATGATCCCGTACCACTTCCCGTTCGACCCGATCTGCTGATCCATCCGCACTCCGACCAGCTACATTGGTCCCCGTTGACGCTCCATCTGCACGCTTGGCACATCTACATCAGTCGTTAACGGCGAAGGGCTATTCTAAACGGGTGGCTACTGCCATTTCTACAGCGCATCGTACTTCTATGAGGTCACTTTATGATTGCAGGAAGAAGGGCGTCTCATCCCCCCACTACGGCCTCCCCGCAGATGGTGGCAGAGTACCTTCAACATCTACGAACCTCCAGAAAACTCAAAGGTTCTACACTATCTACCTACCTGGCTGCTCTTAACACTGTTATTGCAGCGGCCTCGGGTGTGAAGGTGTCCACTGTCCCTGAACTCCAGTCTCTCCTCCGGTCTTACAAACTGGCTGACCAATCTCGGAAGTTCTGGCCTCCAGCTTGGGATCTTTCCATTGTACTTGCTCATCTCACTTCAGCTGATTACGAACCTTTGGAGGAGAAAGATTTTCAACATGTCTCCTTTAAGACCTTCTTTCTCTTGGCCTTGGCTACAGCTGCCTGTATTTCTGAGTTGCATGCTCTTGATGTTTCTCGGGTGCAGTTTGAAAGGTCTAGACATGCAACAGTTTTCCTTGGTTAGGATCTTCTCGCCAAGAATCAGTTACCAGGACAGCCGGATCGCACATTCACGATTCCGCCATTGTCCACTGTCTTGGGCCAGATGACACTGAGGATCTGTCCTTGTGCCCGGTGCGTGCATTAAGGATTTATCTAGCTGCCTCACAGGATTGCCGCAGACTGCGTAAGAGATTGTTCATTCCATTGTCTACTGCCTCCACCTCGGAAGTCTCCCGTACTACCTTGGCGTTTTGGATGCGAACTACGATCCTGCGTGCCTATGCCTTTGCTGACCTACCTCCACCGTCGACGGCGAAGCCTCGTGAGACTCGAGCTCTTGCCTCCACCATGGCTCTTCATAGAAATTGTTCCCTGCAGTCCATGGAGGGCTGTTTTTGGAGATCTGATACGGTGTTTGCTTCACACTACCTGACAGACCTATCGGTTACAGATGTGGAAGGTCTACATCAATTCGGCCCCTTGGTCCTGGCGCAGCAATTGTCATCGGCCCGTGTTCCCAGATAAAGCAATCCTTCTTTGGTCGGTGTTGCTCTGTACATAATAAAAGATATCGATGTTATCCATGTCTTTTTACTTTTTTCCATTGGGATTAGATTATTCTCACCTATGGGAATAGGGCGTGTCTGCACTGTCATAAGTTATGACTTAATAGGCTGTGAGGCCATTCTTGTGCTACATGCAGAGATGATCGACACTCCGCTTACTGACCTCTACTCTCCGAGCAATTACGTCAGTAAAGTGTTGATTTCCGATTACCTACATGGTTTTCGAAGCGTTCTACTCCTAAGTCCTTTCACACCTTGGTAAGGTAGGGAGATTGGTACTGAACGTTAAACTAGTTGAGCAACCGAGCTATTCCCTCTTTCACCGCCTTCCAGTGTGTGACTGTGGGGGGTAGTTTCGAAGCAGGGACTGGCCAGATTAAGGTCTTCAACTTTTAATTCACTGGGGTCACCTGATAAATCGCGGGGCAGTGGGGCCTACTTGCCAAACTGCGTCTTTTTGCTTGTCAAAAGTTGCGGCTGAAAACCACATTAATTCAGGAGCGCCCACTCCCTAGAGTTTTTGTGCTGTGTAAGCCAATGGGTTACAAGAAACCCATCTATAGTTTGGAGTCAGCATATCGGGACTTGGTGCTTTCTCCTGGCCTCCTTGGGGTTATTCGTCTTCCCGGTTGTACGTATTGACGGGGTAATCTGCGACCCTCCTACCAACCGTGGGATTGTGCATACCGTGAGATAGGATAAGTTTAAAAATTTGTTAATTTTATAATAAATTGTATATTTATATACTTATCCTATCTCACGCGATGGATACCCACCCGACCTGCCCCACATCACAGATTACTGGAAGCTCCAAGAATGACAGGCACAGGTAGTCACATGATCAGCTGAGCGAGCTGCACGCTTACGGAGATGATTGACAGGTGCTGATGTCGGAGGGGGGGGGTGAGGTCAGGGCGGGTCAGAGGCCAGTAAGATTTGATTCAACTTAGCCTACAGCACGTTTCCACACATGGTCGTAGAAGAAGAAGAGAGGTGCATACCGTGAGATGGATAAGTATATAAATATACAATTTATTATAAAATTTACAATGTTACATTCTTGACATTTTGTCGCATCTGTGCATTTTCTTGTTACCAGAGCAAGTGTGGCCTCCACCATCCCCCAGCCAATGAGATCTACAGAAAAGGAGATCTCTCTGTGTTCGAGGTGGATGGCAATGTCAGCAAAATATACTGTCAGAACCTGTGTCTACTAGCCAAGCTATTCCTCGACCACAAGACGTTATACTATGATGTAGAACCATTCCTCTTCTATGTACTAACACACAATGATGACACTGGGTGTCATCTAGTGGGCTACTTCTCAAAGGTATGTTTGTGTGATAGTAACAGTACTTTGGAAGAAGAATTGATGTTTGCAAACCTCATTAACTCTTGCTCTATAGATATTTTGTTTACTGTTCCAAGAAGTTGAACTGTAACATGTACGGATGTAACTTGAGCCTTCATTGGTAATGCTTTTGTGAAATTTGCTAAGTGGTAATGCATGTCTTGATGTTAAATGTTCTCTGAAAAGAAATGATTTACCTACATTCCAGGAGAAACACTGTCAACAGAAGTACAATGTATCCTGTATCATGACAATGCCACAGCACCAGAGGAAGGGATATGGCAGATTTCTCATAGAATTTAGTATGTATTTGTTATCATTCTCAAGGAGCCTATTTTATGATTATTATCTGTATTTAATAGCTGCTTCTTATGGTTTGTGTTTACAAAGTTGAAAATTAACTGAATTTCTTTTAAACCACTTTTCTGTCAATATTCAGTGCACATATTAGCCATTGAATTGAGTAATTGAACTTTTAGTAGAATCTGGATGCACAGCATTATATAATGTCATACAGTGTCTGTGTTGCAGTAGAATTAGGTTTGAAGAAGTTTAGAAGCTTTTATTGAAAAAGTGATTGTTTCCCTGTGCAGGTTATCTACTGTCTAGGATTGAAGGTCAGCCAGGTTCCCCAGAGAAACCACTGTCAGACTTAGGCAAAGTCAGCTACATGGCATATTGGCGCAGTATCATCATTGAATACATGCACAAGGTGGCTGATGATAAAATAACTATCAAAGGTCAGTAAGATCTGTATTCTTGATTTTGTATTTAATCTCAATTTGTTACTTTGTATTATAGTCTCATCCGTCATTTGACAAAGTGGCAAAACTGTATTATGGGTTGTTAGAGAAGGGCCCCCCGAACTGTATTTCAAACTCTCCAGTAAGTATCCTCACTTGTTATAGGCTGGAATGTACAATTTTGACATTTCAGCAGGACTAATTTCTCCAAACAATGTAAAACTAAGCTGTGTGCTCATTAATAATAAAGAGATTTTCCTTTTATGGAACAAGTTCCCATACATCATCATCCGTCTCAGGCTTGCCTGAGTTCCATTCAAGTGCAGACAGCATTATTCTACTGTGATTAGATTGATGTGTTCTACTGAGACAAAATACTGCTATAGCCTCCTAAAATTTGAAATAAGTTTCTTGTTTCGTAGCTATTTTTGCAAACCTCTGTTGTTAGCTCCCGCAACAACAAAGTTGTGGGGGATATAGAAACGAGTTCCGTCCATCCGTGCATCCGTCACACTTTGTCCGAAGAATATCTCCTAAACTATTCGTGATGGCTTAACCAAACTTGGTACACATGTCAACATGATCCCTAGATGTGCCTTTTGGGGGTTAGACCCAGATGCGAAGTTTATGTTTTTTCCATGGAAACATTACTTAGGCTGTGGCTATGAGGATGTCATCTTGTCCGGAGCAGATCTTCCAAACTATACATGCTAGCTTCATCAAACTTGGTACACATATCAAGCATAATCCCTAGATGTGCCTTTATGGGGTTAGACCCAGATATGAATTTTATTATTTTTCCTTATCCTGACTCATGCTCTTTTGCTTGTCTTCTTCTTCTTGCGAACATAGTGGAACACTTGTATCTCCTTATTTGAAGCTCCCTTCAAAATAAAATCACTAATTGGTACTCACCACGAGTTGCTCCCCTTTGTCTCCCCTGGCGGGAAAAGGTGTCGCCACCCTCTGGCCATGTGCTTCACTCTCTCCTTCTTCGCCCAGTGAGCAGGATGTGAGAGCGCCTTGTGTCTCCTTACACACATATCCTTTGATAATCTCTTAGTTTTTACCTCTCATAGGTTACTATAGAGGTATAGCTAGTATCCTTTACTATTTGTATTGATTAATTATCGTTATTTCTACTGTTTATTCACGTGTATTCGCGTGATTGTTCAGCTAGCTTTACGCTCATGAAAATCTGTACGATTTGTAGATTACGCTTTTCTGCCTCCGATCCACATGTAATATGCCCTAGTTGTTCTACGTGCGTGCGTTTAATTCACGTTGCAGTTACTGCATTAATTTATCTCATTCTGCTTTTAATAAATATCATCTTTATGCGTCTTAAGACGTGCTGCAGATAGATCACGCAAACAAGGGCAAAACATGGCAGAGAGTCCAGATATTCCTTCCAGTCAGCTGCTAGCGATCGACCCTCTCCGTCTGGTGTTCTGCTAGAGACCCCTGCGGCAGAGGAACGTGGGACGCAGTCCGTTACCTCGAAGAAACGACCGGCCTCCCAGACATCCCGTCCATTGCAGACTAAGTCTAAGAGGGCCTCATCGCCGCCTCAACGCAGATTGAGGACACTCCAGGGCAGCGCCAGACTTCCAAAGGGAAATCTCACGAAGACAGCAAGAACTTTCAGCCGAGATCGCTCCAGCAGCAGAGTTGGGCCTCTACGATGATCAGCCGATAATCATCCCCGACTTACGGCAGAAGAAGCGACCGTGTCAGCGACTGTGACTTCTGCAGAGATCTCCATGCAGCCTGATGCCTCTACACCGACGCCAGACGCCATTGATGTGAACCCCATCGCAGAAAAGACGCCGACGACTTCGTCACAGATCATCCCAGAAGACATGATGCGGCAGATTATGAACATCATGGAGGACCACTACAAACTGCGCGCAGCAGGGTCCGAAGCTTTCGAAGGCTCCAACGTGACAGCACCCCAGAGGCACCCCCGTCAACGTAGCAGCCAAGACGATGTCACCTTCGCTGAAGGAAGTCCCGCACCACCTTGACGAAGGACCTAGATGTACAGCCTTCGCTAAGGCCTTCGCGGCGGAGAGATCATCACCATCTTCGATTTCATCTCTAGATATGGACTCAGACCATCAGACATCACGGAAGCCTTCGCTGAAGGTCATATCATCGATCCCCGGACCGGACGCAAATGAAGCTTCAAGCTGGCGGCATTCGCGAAAGACATATGATTCCAGATCTTCATCGTCTAGAAGAACATCGAGGGACTGCCGAAGAGCTTCGCGAAGCTATCAACATTCACCTCACAAGTCTCCGAGAAGATCATCCCATAGACGATCTCCACTCCGTTCATCACCAGGTCGATCACCCATCAGATCTCCACATAGAGCGGCGCACAAGTCAACTAGATCGCCACAAACCTCATCAGATATTCAGATAGCTACACGCAGTCCCGAAGAGCATCTACAATTTATTAATGATGATGGTTTTGAGGATGATGGAGGAATCATATTTTCTGATGCAGAGATACGGTATTGGATGGTCAATAACCTAGATCTCACATCACCATCTAAAAGTGGCAATACAGCTCAGACGTATTTGATGAAGGAAGATGATCCAGATGCAATCACTCTACCCCCGATCGACCCGATTGCGGCAGTGCCACAGAATCTAGATGCAGCTTTCCAGAAAGCTACGAAAGTTCAGATACCACATCTACCCAACTTTCAAGCCAAGAAGTTCTCCACGCATAACATGGACTCCTTCTACAAGGCCCAGGACATCGATGAGAACTATAAGATCATCAGCGATGTAAAGAACAAGATTTACAAGATGGATGATCGCAAGTTGGCTCATATAGAAACCATGACGAGACGTATGTTCTTTGGGTTAAATAGATCTAGGACGATCAATGAGACTCTTATTACTAGATTCCGGGATTCCACGACGGAAGATGATAGAATGATTTATTCTGCCTTACTTATGCAAAAGAAAGATCAGCAGTTTTTAACGGATCATCTTACATCTGTTTCAGCAGCACTGACCTTAGCTCGTCGTCAAGGCCTCCTCGCCTCCTGTAATTGGGGGGAGAACTTTACAGCCCCACTTTATACAGCCCCGTGGTCGACAACATCCATCTTTGACGGAGAAATCGACAAGGTCGCCAAGGAAGTCTCTAAGGATTCCAGGGAAGTCCTTATGATTAGATCGATGGACACACTAGCCAGCGTCATTCGTCAGACTTCACAAAGATACTCAGGCAGATCTAAGTTCACGGGCCTACAAAGAGCAAGAGACAGGAAGATAGCCAGCTCTAGAGGTAAAGATTCTTTTCGTCGCCCATATGGCAACTATAGAGGAGGATCAGGAAGAGGCAGGACACCCAGAGGTTCCCGCAATTATAGACGCTGAAACACAGGTTCGGAACGACTGGAGTCTTCCACCCCCAGCCGTTCCAGTACAACCAGCTCAAGTGGGTGGACGCCTCCAACTACACTGGGAAAACTGGGGAATACTGCAAGATCCTTACGTCTCCAACATTATTCAACACGGATTTCGTATCCCTCTACAGGACAAGCCTCCGCTGACAATCAAACCCCCCAAGTTCGATTTACAAGCGCAACAACTACCAAAGATAAAAGAGGCTGTCTCATCACTCCTATCCAAACAGGCCATAGAAGTAATAGATCAAGCAAACGTCGAACCAGGTTTCTACTCCCCAGTTTTCCTAGTTCCCAAGAAAAACTCCACGGAGAAATACAGACTCATCTACAACATGAGCTTTTTCAACAAGAACTATCTACGCAAACCACGAAGTTTTCGCGATGATACATTTGCCTCAGTTACGCCAGATGATTCGGTCCTATGGACTACATGGGCAGCATAGATCTACAGGATGCCTACTTGCACATCCCCATTCATCCCGATTCCAGGAAATACCTACGATTTACTCTAGAAGGGCTACATTACCAGTGGAAAGTACTCCCATTCGGAATATCATCAGCCCCCTGGCTATTCACGAGGATAACGAAACCGATTATCAAATTTCTACATCGTCAAGGGCTACGCGAGTCGTTTTACCTCGACGACGGGATACAAGTAGATCAAGATCCACTCGTCTCAAACTACAGTTAAATTACATCATAAAGCTACTAACACAACTAGGTTGGTTAGTAAACTTACGCAAGTCGGACCTAGTACCATCGCAAGAGACCTACAGTTCCTAGGTATTCGATTCATCACAAATCGCAACCGTATTATGGTACCAGAAGACCGTTGGCTCAAGATACAACAGACCATTCCACCAGCTCTACTCTCTCCGTTACCACTCGCGACAATGGCAGAGCCTACTAGGTCTTCTCACATCAGCCCAAGACATGACTGTCACAGGCAGATTACAGTTACGTCCCCTACAGGTCCTCATCAACGCACATCTCAACGATGTACAACCATTCAGTCTACCGAAACATCTCAGACCACATCTACTATGGTGGACCAAGAAATCGAATGTCTGCGAAGGGATTTGTTTAGCAGAGCAGGAATACAAAACCCATCTGTATGTAGGCAGCGTCACTCCAAGGTTGGGGAGCTCATCTCACCAACCACACGATATCAGGGTTATGGAATCAGCAAGAATGCAAACTCCATATAAACAGTCTAGAAATGAAAGCTGTAATCAGCGCCATTCTACATTGGAGCACATTTCTACAAAATGCGCCCTAATGATCCATACAGACAATTCGACAGTGGCGTTCTACATAAACAAGCAAGGCTCAACGAGATCGATGAACCTTTTGAACCTAAGCTTTCAACTGTTCGATTTAATACAAGATCTAAATCTACATGTCAAAGCAGTGCACATTCCCGAGCCAGAAATATACTAGCAGACGCGGCTCTCTCTCGGCCTCATCTACCATCACCGACAGAGTGGATGATCAACCGGAAATTTTTGCACAGATAATCAAGCAATTAGGGCGCCGCTAATAGACCTATTAAGCCACGCGATTCAACAATCAGCTACCGACATTAAATTGTCACCAGTCCCAGACCCCCAAGCTTGGGCAACGGACGCTCTAAGTCTATCATGGGAAGGCCTCAATGCGTGCAGCGTTTCCGCCGCCAGCAATAATACCTCAAGTATTACAGAAAATCAGACAAACACAGAGCCTACAACTCACTTTGGTCGCCCTACTGGCCGGCCAGAACGTGGTTTCCCATACTAATTCAAGAAATCGGTCAACCAACACTGGAGCTACCCAAGCGCGCCAAACCTGTTAATTCATCCTCACACCAAACAAGTGCACGGAAACCCAGCAATGTTCCAACTACACGTATGGACTGTATACAAATGTGTTTAAACAAGAGAGGATATTCTGCCAGGGCGGCAAAAGCAGTCACGCTTGCCTTACGTTACTCAACTCGTGGCAATGTACCTATCGACGACAAGTGGCACAGTTTCGAAAATTATGCAACAAAGAAAGGGTTTACAGCAAGAGAGGCTTCACAACCTCAAGTGGCAGACTATTTGTGTTACCTACGCCAAAACAAACATTTAAAAGGTTCAACGATATCAACATATCTTGCCGCCAGCTTAGCTCTGTAATCACCATGAGAGCGGGTGTCAAATTGACAAGATCTCCAGAGTTACTGGCCTTACTACGAGCTTTCGATTGGAGGACCAAAGCGGAAGTTCCACGCTTCCAGCTTGGGATCTGAATGTAGTGTTACAACACCTCACGAGTGAGGTCTATGAACCCTTGGAATCGACAAACTTTGAATTTCTCTCACAGAAAACATTGTTTCTGCTATCGCTAGCCACAGCAGCAAGAATGTCTGAAATTCACGCTTTGGATTACGAGAGGATACAGTTTGATGACAATCATAACACAGCGCACCTCCTCGGATTAAGATGGGATTTCATTGCAAAGAATCAACTGCCAGGTCAACCAGACAGATTATTCCACATCCGGCTATCCTCTATTCTCGGATCACAAGATACACAAGACCTATCACTGTGTCCGTAAAAGCTCAAAGTTTATTTCTGACGATCCAAAACAAGGAGAAGATTTCTCAAACGTTTATTCATCCCATTATCGCCCTCTGAATCAAACAGAAGTGTCACGGACCACAATATCTATTTGGATAAGGACTGTCATTCTCCGTGCCTACAAGGCAGCAGGCTTGGACCCACCAACAGCATCAAATCCACATGAGATCAGGGCACTGGCCTCTACCCTCGCCCTACACGGTAACTGTTCCTTGAACACGATTATGGAAGGATGCTATTGGAAATCTAACATGGTATTTGCTAATCACTACCTAAGAGACATCACTACAGAAGATGTCTCTGGCATTCACCATTTCGGACCACTGGTCCTCGCTCAGCAACTGACAGTCCCTCGTAGGCGTTAAAATATTAGCCTCACAAGATTAATATGTATTTTATACATACTCATCTAGCTTATAACTCTAAGGAGTTTTAGGGCTATGTATATATGTTCAGCTTAAGTATTCTACCTTAAGCATATACTTGGATATAGTCAATTTCAGTGCCTCTATCAGAGTCACCTATATATATATATATATAATTTATATGTATTGTTCAATATATTCATAATGTAATTCCCCTTTAATGGCTTTATATAACCTATGGTTTCTTTATACAGGATACATCCTAAATCTAAGACTTCATGAAGTTCCGTGGGGATATTACAGTATATCTATACTAAATCACTAATTATAAATCCAAAGTATTCTGTTACCCACCTCCGTTCCGTAGGATGCTACAAGCAAAGAGCATGAGTCAGGATAAGGAAAATATGTAATTTTTAGAGTAAAATTGATATTTTATACTTATCCTGACTCATGAGGTTAGCCCTCCCATCCTCCCCACATAACACTTTGGATTTCCCTGTAAATTCAAGTGTTGGGCTCGCTAAATCAGGAGAGAGTGGAGCACATGGCCAGAGGGTGGCGACACCTTTTCCCGCCAGGGGAGACAAAGGGGAGCAACTCGTGGTGAGTACCAATTAGTGATTTTATTTTGAAGGGAGCTTCAAATAAGGAGATACAAGTGTTCCACTATGTTCGCAAGAAGAAGAAGACAAGCAAAAGAGCATGAGTCAGGATAAGTATAAAATATCAATTTTACTCTAAAAATTACATTTTTGCTGTTTCCCTGGAAACATGACTTAGGCTGTAACTATGAGGATGTCATCTTTTTGCATTTCCATGGCAACAAGTTAGGCTTCAACTGAATTTGGTCGTAGTGCTCCTTTCTTGAGTAGATCTTAAAAACCTTTCAATACTCTCCTTCCACTCTGCTGTATACACTCCAAAACATTTGACATAATCATAACTAGCAGACATATTTATAAAGAGTATTTTGCCGTTGCGGGGGATATTGATGACTTTGTCTTCTTGTTATGTCTGGACTGAGTGTGATCAGCTGGTCATGCTACTCACACTTCCTGGTAGCAATTATACCCCTATCTGAGGGAAGGGGAGTAACTCCTGAGGCTTTCAGACAAGCAGAATTGTCTGAAGCATCAAGGGGCCTGAAGTAAAGTTAATTTACTTTGTAAAGGAACAGTTACGTCATCTACATGTTTGATTTTATGTGTTTACTCTTTATGTGTCAACTTGAAGTCTAGGAAATTGCAAATTTTGCAAATGTGCGTGTTTTTTCCAGCCATCAGTCGTGCAACTGGGATGTGTCCTCACGATGTTGCTGGGACCCTGCAGCAGCTGACCTTCATGGTCAAGAAGGATGGAAAGTAAGTACCGAGACTGTTAGATGCATGTAAATAAAGTTTGACTCGTTACCTGCTTCCATTTCATGCCAAAATACTAAGAAACAGTGTTTCAGTGAATATTTAATGATTGTCTTACAAGTTATTTACTTTTGGTTTGTCTAGTTCATATTGGAAGTCTGTGTCATATAAGTTGGATGCCAAACACTACCTCAGTTACTGGAAGTTATTTTTCCTTTTAACAGATTTAAGAATTAAATAAACAATTTATTGAGCTTTTGAAAAAACATCGTGTTTGGTAAAATATGTTACAATATAATTGTTTAGTCATTTAAAAAAATAATTCTGAAGATAGCAGTAAATTAGTGTTGCATTTACTATATCATTCGACATGTTTTTTAGAATTGTCATATCTGTGAATCGCAAGAAGATACAAGAATACATGGACAAACTGAAGTTAAAAGCACACCAACGTCTTGAGCTAGATGCTGAGTGCCTACGCTGGACTCCTTTAATATCTAATCAAACTCTATTGGAAGAAGAGAAACGTGCTGAGAAAGAGGTGGGTCCAAGGTTCCGTCTGCCATTTGGAGCTCCTACAACTTCTAGATACTTTAGGGTGGGTAATATTTGGGTTGTTGTATGGTGGCATGCTTGTGCTGTGAAGACCATTTCTGTATGGGATGTTACCAGCAACTCTGGGCTTTTCTTGTCTGCACCCACCTGCATAGTGTTACTTTTGTTTCTCAGGGGTGTCTTGTAGCAAGGTATGTCATCATTACTTTGACCATTATCCACATTTTGTATGTAGTTCTGTTATGTCCTTAGATAGCTTTTCTTCATCACAGATGTAGTTGTTTCATTGGGAAAGGAATGAAGTAGTATATCATTTGAAGCCAAAACTCATTTCAGCTAAAGCTTTGCCATGAATGCTTTTGCAGTAACATGCATTATACTCAATCATCCTGAACTAAGATGTGTGAGATTGGATGTAAGTGTAAATGCAGCATGACACATCCACAGTTTGTATTATTATGTACACTAATTACAGTGAGATTAACATTGTTATACAGAGTTAATATGTTAGTTTTTACTGATTACACTCGCAGGTCCTTCTTTGTATAGAACAACCTAAACTTTTTATCCTGCTATGGAGAAGGGACTTTTAATATCTCATACTTCTCAGTGATAGTCTGTGGGGGATAAGTTGGTACCAAGCTTCTTGCATAGTGTGTTAAGTCTGACAGGAGCATCCACCTTTTTGTAAAGGTTTATAGAGGGACTTATCTGAGTTTGATCAATATTTTCTAAACTTATTAAGAAAAACATTATAAATGTAGAACCTTTGTGTGCTATCACTTTAAATAGTTTGGTGTTGTAATCCCAAAGACTTCAGTTGATTTTATCATCTGTGATTTATTTATTAAAAAACACCTATGTGTTTAGCACCTATTGAATAGAACATTCCTTTTTAGTACTTGTTAATGTCGAACTCAAAAATTGATGTCATAATCTCAGTTCCATTCATCAAGTGATTGATTTATGTACTGCGTCACAACCAGCTCATTGAACATTATCCTGGTATGCTTCATTTGCATGTTGTTGTTTCATAAGAACTGTTCATTTCTATAATACCGATTCATCAACATTTCATTGCACGCTTCTTCCTTTAGTGTGTCAGTGCTATGTTCTGTGTGTTGTTGATGTTACTATGAAACATGAAGAAGTAAGTCCTATTTAATATCAAGTGATTTCAAATTGTCATAACACAAAACAGAAGTATTAGATTTGTCTCTGCATTTGCAGTATGTTTCATGACTGATTCAAACAACTCATTCATATACCGGTAATTATTTTTTTTAATGGTCGTTAGAAAGGAAAGAGTTTTGAAAGTGTTATATGTGTGAAGTGCAGGTTTTGAAGAAGAAATTGTTTCTTTATGCCTATGAAGTAAATGTATCAATCATGCACAACAGTTACGGGAGATGAGTGAGGTGGTCAACAGCATAGCAGAAGACCGACGTCAGTTGCTGGAAGATTCAAAGCTCAGTCCTGTCAAAGAAGTCCCAATCAAAAAAGGTATGCTGGTACAAACTGCCATAAAGACCTTGAAACATTCTAATATCTCTGATATCCTAAATATGGTAAAACAATTAAGACATATCTTCAGGATCCATAATGGTTTCATCAACATACCATTGGATATTATGAAATAAGCTATGATACTGAAATACACTAGATCCATGATTGCTGTACTTAATAGTTGCTTAAAGACTTCGCAGCTCATCAGATTTCAAGAACCTTGATAAAGTACTTTGCTCCCTTCCCATTTCCATATTCAGTTTGACTTGAAAAGTGAATGTATTTTCAGGTTGGAAAGAAGCCAGGGAGAAAAAGGTTGAACAGCTTCAAGTCACCCGTTCCAGAACCTAAGAGATCTCGAAAGAGTCTAATGACAGAAATAAGCAACAGCTATCTTGAAGGTGAAGGACTACCCTCTTAACAGTTTCTCCCCAAACATATGCAAACTATAGCTATTTGTGCATGTCATTTTTAATATGTTTCGTTACCGAAGTGATAGATGCCAAATTTGATTATATATTAGTATAGAATACATTAGATCATGTATAATCCAATGGGCTTCTCATCAACATTATTTTTTTTTCGCTTTTTGTTAATTTTTAATGTGTTAAATAACTCTTGTGTTTGTATTTACCACCCCCAGATAAACTGAAGAGTGTTCCAAAAACAGAAGAAAATCTAAACGGCAACAACTGTAATAAAATGTCAAACAAGACTCTTAAGAAAGAAATCAAAGGAAGACCTGAGATTACACTTCGAAGAAATGGACATATTGTAACAGAACATGTTGTTCAGAAGCGACGAAAGAGGAAAGGCGGATGGCCAAAAGGAGTTCCTCGTGGCTCGCCTGTGAAGAAAGACCCAGTGGTACGTCGAGGCCGGCCAGGCAGACCACGAAAGGTGGGTGCTCCTGCATGAGCTGTGACAGGTGTGACATAATGAGATCCATATCTGGATCCGTAGTTCATGTAGATGGCTTGTCCGGCACTATTTGCCATATCACACTTTTAGTTAGTTTTACTTCTCTATCTATAATGAATGTCAGAGAAAAATTACTATCAGCATTAAGAAATGTTAAGTATTTGGATGTATACAGATTGCTATAGCCAAGTGCCTATGATTTAAGAAAGAAAGACAAAAAGGGCCAGTTTCCTTCTTTGACCGGTATTTATGCACTTTCAAATTTGAAGTGCCAAATTCCATAGTTGCCAGATTTCAGTTAAGCAAAAAAGACTAAACATATAATGGTGAATCTGTATTATCAAGTCTATGATAAGTTCTATTTTTATCTGAACTTACAAATATATCAAAGGTTACCGACTGAAAAAAAGACTAAATGATACATTGGCCACAGAGTTTGAAAAAGTGATCAGCTTTTAGTCTTTGTTTTTGTGGACTCTCAAGTCTAGAATTTGGAAATTGTAGGTTAAAACATCCTAAGAAATATGTTCATATGTGGCATATTACATTTAGGAGAAGTATTTATTCATTTTGTTTTCAGGATTGTAAACTCTCCTCTCTCTCCCTCTCTCTGGTATTAAACCATGTCCATTTCTCCCAACTTTTGATGAAAAACATAAAACATAAGATATAACTGGTGCATAAGTCTAAGAACAAACATTATACTGACATCATTCAAGGTATATTTATCACCATCCAGTTGTCGTGTGCATTCCTCAACAGTATATATAGCTTACGTAGCACAAAGGGATGGACTTTGATTTCTTTGACGTTCTTACTTAAACCAGATAATGGAAATGATTATAATTTTTTCAAACAGAAGATTGATTTTCAAAAGGATGTTGCCTTATCACTGTTAGGCGTGTAACTAATTATTACACATTGTCAGTTTTTGTGGTTAAATTGAGTTAATGTGTCGGTGATCATTGGTAACTGTAATTGAATAGTTCACTTATATATTTAATGGTACTCAGATATCCATAATATATGAAAACAGGTGCTGTGATCTGTCAGGTTTTAATCTTAATTTCTTGTACTTTTCCAAGAGGGCTTAAAATGTTCCTTTCTATTTCCAATTTTTTTCTTTTCTATTTTTTTTAAGTGGTTTAACTGAAGAATGCATAAAATTTTTGTTTTTACTTCCAGCTTCGCCACAGAACCCTGGTTGAATCTCAAGTCTCAGGTGCAGAAGAAAGTGATAACCCATCAACTCCAGTTCACACAAAATTGGAAAACAAAAGTGATACTGAGGAGGAAGAGCCTGAGACAAAACGTGAAGAAGAGGAGGATGTTGATGATGAGGTGACCATTAATGGAGACGTCAGTAAGTTGACAGATGGTAGTGATGGGGAGATGGACATGGATATCACGAACACTTCTGTACAGAATTCAGCCTCACCTGACAAGGCTGTGTCTGCTGTGAACAGCGCGCTGCAGACTCTGGCGCACCGAGCAAGAATGGTAACGTGGCTGACTGTGATGACAACAATGAAGAGAAAGACAATAAAAGTGATGATTCTTCATCATCGTCATCATCATCGTCTGATAGTGACAGTAGTGATGATGATGAAGATGATGATGATGACGATGAAGATGGAAGTCATGAGGAAGATGAGAAAAAGTGTAATGAGGTTGATACAGAGGTATCTATTAAAGCCCCGGTTGAAAGTGAGAAAGTGGTGAAATCTGTTGATATTCATACAAATGGAGTTGAAACAGTGAAGGAAAAAGAGAATGAGGAAACAAATGAAAGTGCTATTAAAAGTGATGATGATGATGATGACGATGATGATGAAGAAGAGGAGGAGGAGGATGACGAGGAAGAAGATGATGAAGAAGAGGAAAGTGAAGAAAGTGAGAAAGAGGAAACTGTAAATTCACCCAAAAATGTTCCAAAATTGGAGTCTCCAGCAAGTTTGGAACAGGAAAGAGAAACATTACCCAGTGAATCTTCAGGTCCACCTGAGCCAAGTCCAGCCATTGAACCTACAGAATGTGTGTCCGATTCAAATAGTGATGATGGGCCCCCTGCCCCTCTCACACCACAAGTGCCAACTCCTCGGCCTATGTCTCCTAATATACCCATGCCAAGCCCAGGTGCCAACCCAGACTCTGAGCCAGAGCCTGAGCAATTGCCTATGCATGAGCCAGAGCCACGGCCTCCCACTCCGCGCCAAGAAGAGCCAGTTATTCAGGAGAGCAAACAACCAGACACTCCCCCATCTCCACAAGTACCAACACCAGTTCCTGCAGCAGCAGCAACTGAAACCCCAATAGCAGCATCTGCTTCAACTAATTCCTCAGTGGAGCACACACCAGACACAGCAGATATACCCAGTGATGATAATTTCCAGGATATTAGTAGTGATACCACTGTGCAGGACACTCTCAGTGCCTCTAATAACTTTGAGGAAGCGCTTGCCCAGGAGCTGAGGAACAATTATGAACAAATTGACAATAGTGCAACAGGTAACATTGCAACGGAGCAAATGGCTCAGCGTGACATGAGCATGAACAATGTACAGCCACCAACTCCAAACCATCCAAGCCAGACCTGCAGTAGTGTGGGACCTGTGTTCTCACCCCAGAATACACAGATCAACAATATGCCTAATACCAACCTAGGCAACAATGGATTTAATGCAGTGGATATAGATGTGACACAATTAGGTCTTGAGTCACCTACATCAATTAGTAGTAATGAGATGGCCAACAACTCTGTTGAATCTGCTCCCACCCCTAATTATTCTGATTGTGCACAAGCCCAGATGCCCCCAACCCAGATGCCTCAACCACAGCAGCTACCCCCAACAACGCCACAGCAACAACAGCAGCAGAGCTGTGCTCAGGTTCAGAGTTGTGCTCAGTTGCCACAGAATTGTTGTATTCAAGCCCAGCAGTCATACTGTAATAATCAAAGCCGTGTGACTCGATTCATGGATACTGTTCAACATCATCCAATGCAGATGCCTGTGAGTTCAGGAACGTACCTTCCACCACCAGCTACAAGCTCTGTGGTATATGGGTCATCTGGTTCAAGTTATAGTCCTAGCATGCTACCCCAGAATACCCACAGATTGGTCCACAATAATACTCCTTGTGGAGGACAACAGAACACTGGCAACTACCAGAATCCAAATAGCTGTAGCTTGTCAAAATTACAGCAAATGACTGCCAATATGATGGACTTGATGCATGAAAATACCATGACCCCACCACCCAATCTGACCCCTCCACCTCATACCATGACCCCACCTCCAGCCATGATTCGCTCCATGGCAACTCCGCCCATTCCCAATCTTCAGCCACAACTGCAACTTCAGCCTCAACAGTGTAGCAAGTATCCAAGGAGCAGACAAACCACACGTAAACCTCAAAGTGCTAACCCTAATGTGACAGTAAACCCTAGTGTGCCGTTCACTCCTAATGTGACAATTCAGCCAGGGTCTGGAATGCTTCCCCGGTACAATATGAACATGTTCAATAGTTATCGTCAGCCAATGATAAATCATGGCTATATTCCCAACCATGGTTTCTTGAACCAACCTCAACTGCCAATGCAGGTTGGAATGATGAACATGCACCCCGCAGCCCAGCAACCCTTCCAACAACAAATGCAGCAGTCCCAGTCCAACAACCCCATGTATGCTTACAGCTATATGACTGCTCCATCACTCAACATGAACAATGTCAACCCTGTCATGCGGAGGTAGTACTTGCCCCACTGACATACAACACATGCCATAAAACTTTCATCGCATTTCATTTGTGTACATATATATATCAGAGAGTTTGCTCATTTTCACCCATTTTCATTGTTTGCATTTGTTCAGGTGCAAAGTGTTATACTAATTTATGTCGTGATGGATCACAAGATGACAGAGACATTTGTGAAAAGTGATCAAAGATCTCAGACATGAGATAGTGAGTGCTATGTTCAATAAGTGGAGATTACTACACCCAGCAGAACAAGATAATCATTGTTTCCTAGACATGATTTGGACATTTTGTCCCAGACATGCTGTACATTTGACTTAAAAAAGTTCACCTTCTGAACACAGGGACATCCCGAGTGTCTATTTTACTAGATGTCTCAGGTTTTTCTTACTTAGAGGTCAACTGTTGTACAGTTTTTATTATTTCACCTTCCATTGATAACTGTGAGGTCGTATTTGTCTGATGGTATATTTTTGTCTAGATTGTAAAGATCTTTAAAAAAATGTGCATTGTGCATTTTGAATAAATTATAACTTAATTCTATCTATCACTCATGTGAGTGAATGTCTTTGTTTTGATTATGTTGCGGTGCTCTGCTGAAGAGCTGAATACAGACACAGTATTTGGATTCCAGAGGAGCCAATTTTTCAGAAAACATGATTTAAAACAGTCACACAAACTGCACTCTTAACCACCAAAGTTTCCCTTGTACCAAGAAATTGTTTGTTTTAGAACCACCATGTTACAAATCAGGATGGAATGAAGTTTGTATTCTCTGACTAAAGTTACGTTATAAGTAAGGATTATTTCGACAAAGTTTTGCAAAATACTAAAGTGACTACAAAGTTCACTGTCTCAAATGAGAATATGTAAAGCCATTACTTAGTTGACTCCTTGCATAAACTGGAATTCCCTAGAATTATTTTCACCATTTGTTCAAATACTACTTTTTCCTACTGAAGGTGTACATCTATCTACCACTAACTGAAGAAAACTATTGGTTTAATAAATAGCAGTTATCAAAATGTCTGGGTGTCAACTTGAAATTAGCACCAGTCTGTAGAGGACAGTCTCATCCTCTCTGAACTACAAAAATTTGCTCTTGACTTCTGTTGTACCTCTGAAGTAGGCCACAACTGACCTTGTACCATTTATACAAGTCGAGAACAACACAAAATACCTTCAGCTGGGGCAACGTTTTCCTTTGTAAATACGCTTCTTATGTTGTCTTCATCTGCTGGACAATCTGTTACAGGTTATATGACAAATTGAATACCAGCAAAACAAATTACTGTGGGATGTTCTGTCATGTTCAATATTTTACTTCACAGGGGTGATATGTTGTTGCAAGACTCATCAAGTAGATACATTGAAATCTATACAACCCATGAACGCATCACTCAGAACTCACTTTCAGGATCAACTTTAAAAGTAAGTTTGAAAAGGATTTGTCTCCAAATAGTATTTTGAGGGATTTGCCCTGAGCGTGGGAATGACATTGACAAACCTACCAACACAATCAAGGTGAACTAGGATTTAAACTCATGGCTTTAGGTTTATGCTGTGCTCAAGGGACACAACTCTTCATTGACAACTGCTGCTCTGAAGACGAAGGGTAACTTCTTCCAGTTACATTCGCTCTGTGAAGATCTGTGTTAGAATTGATCTTCAGTAACCCGTGCCTGTCGTAAGAGGCGACTAACGAGATAGGGTGGTCAGGCTCACTGATGTGGTTCACACGTCATCATATCCCAGTTGTGTAGGTCGATGCTCATGCTGTTTATCACTGGATTTTCTTGTCCAGACTCGATTATTTACAGACCACCGCCATATAGCTGGAATATTGCTGAGTGCGGTGTAAAGCCAAACTCACTCACTCCAGTAACATTTAGACATTGGTGTGATGAATAAGCGGGTGGGTAGTTCTAAGGATGTACAACTTCATGAAAAGATATGTGACGTTTAGATCATTACAATTGAGGTATTCATTCCATGGAAGTGAATGTTAACTAGTTGACATTTGTCCCCTTTGAGGAGCAGACTGACCGACAGATTTCATTCATTGTTATATCCCCTCACCCCACCTGTCGGCAGGGGATAGAAACAGTACAGAAATCGCTCTTAAACGAGTACTTTTCTGTGCAAATCGTTTGTGAGAAAGGATAAAACAAAACAAGCCATAAATGATCATTTTATTATTTAGTTACACACGATTTACATACACGAGATCACTTCATGCAGCTCTACAGCTGTTACCTGAGTTGTATTGTCCTCCATCTCAGGGAGGTAACCTTTGACCTGAGACTTCATTCAACGACTTTGCAACAGCTGATGAGATGGATTAAGGTGATGACACTCAGCCATGCATATATACTGCTTGATTATGTTCAAAGCCAACATCTCACACATACATCCATACTAACACTGTCTACTGCTTAATTTGCTTTACTGCATCCATAACGTCTGTCAAATTAGCATAATCTCCAAACTCTTTCTCCCTGTGCTCAAACAATATTCCTTGTTCTCCTGGACCAACTACGAATACGGCTGAAACAGAAACAAAACTGTGTTTAGAGAAGCCAAATCGCTGTCCATACTTATCCCAAGTACCGGTTCATGAAATCGATAACTGTTGGTTGTATTAAATATCATGATCTGGGATAAGGAAGGCAATGGGCTAGTGAAAAACAGTACATAAGCCATATCAGTTTACTACTGTGCAGGCTTTCACAGCCATTCAGGTACTGTGACTTCTTCAATGGAAGCACTTACCTCCCAGCAGCCTCCCTTCACCAATCATGTTGCCTTTCACTCCACTCTGTCGGTTGGAGATGACGTTCATCCATACTTTAGCTCTTAGTAGCGCTGAAAACAACATCCATCGCTCTGTTGGACCATAAAACTTGCGCTGCAATGAAGACAAATACTGTAACTTTCACATGTCAGACTATTTACCAGTATTTCAGAACACCTGTGTAGCCAATTGGTTGGTTGACTTTTTTACGGATCACTGACCTCACAAATGAATGTCTCTCAATGAAAGGGTGAGCAATTTTGCAGCTGTACCATGGCACTGAGTAGACAACTATATCTCGGGCACACAAGCCAGTGGACACTGTGAGCAACATCAGCAGTCACTGGGGTACAACTGTGCAATCAACCAAGTTGTTGAACTTGACCACCTGACATGCACTGGCTAATCAGATTCTCACGAAATGTCAGTGACCTTGCAACACTAAAAACTGCACATGCACTGTTCTACATCAGAGCCTCACATTAGAACAAGTTGTCTAGATATGTTTTCATACTACAGGTGATTTCTCCTTTGTTTTGTAATTTGGGCAATAAGGTTACTGAATGGATATTGAGATGGTAAAGGCCAAATAACACCACAAGAATTACCTCTTTGTCCAGGAAGACATCACCTTTGAAAAAGGGTCGGAACTCTTTGACTCCAAGGGTCTCATGCACTACAGCATGCAGAGCCACTCCTTGGGCATCAAGATCCGACTTTAGGGAGGACAGCCCTTGGGCCTCCTGGAACAGATGACACAGTGATACACCTGGGCTTCTCAGGAAGACGGGGAACCAGTTAATGAAAGAGTGAAGGAATGGATAGGTGTGGGAGAGAATGTGTGGGGCTGAATAAGCTGCAGTGGTCAGTTGGTTTTTTGTTTTGTTTAACGTCACACTCAGCAATATTCCAGCTGTGTAGTGGCGGTCTGTAAATAATCAAATCTGGACCAGACAATCCAGTGATCAACAGAATGAGCATCGACCTACACACTTGGGATATGATGATATGTGTCAACCAAGTCAGCGAGCCTGACCACCCGATCCTGTTAGTCGCCTCTTGCAAGCATGGGTTACTGAAGACCAATTCTAACCCGGATCTTCATGGATGAGAATAAGTGTGTGAACTGAATGGATATGTGAAATGCTATGTTTGATAAAGTTTACGATACACATGATGTGAAACAAAGATTGACTTCACGTTCTGTCGACCTGGCCCTGAACGCACCTCCCGACACAAAGGTCATCCGGGTCGCCGCACTGCCATTATCACTGCACCACTTTTCTCCCATAATGCTTTGGCCTGGAATTAGACACACACAAAGAAAATCATTGGTTTTTGATCATTATGCATCACATGGAATATATATTTCCCTGTGTATATATATTATCAATAGTATAATCAAGGTGATACACATCTCAACCTTGTATACATTGCCAAGGCAAATATTTTGTCTGAACATCAGGTGAAATCTTAGTTCGAGTGAGGTTGAACAAACTACACGTACCTATGCATATTGAGACTACAGGTTACTTGATTACTTTTTGTATCATAGTTCATTTGCATCAAGAGTACACTAAATACTCGTAACATGATATAGTCAGTGATTCTTCTGTATCATGTTTCAAGTGTGATCTAAGACAGGATTTCACATTCATCATAGTTAATACTGCAAAAATTAGTGTATGTTACATTCCTCCATCTATCGTCAGGGAGTATGGTTTTACGACACTTTTAGCATTATTCTAGCAAAATCACAGCGAAGAACACCAGAAATGAGATCCACATATTGTTGGGATTTGAACCCATGCCTTTGGGAAGACAAATTGATGCTTTAACCACAAGGCTTCCCCACTACACATCATAATTACTGCTTTACAAGGAAGTCAGCTTCTTAAACACATGAATCAAGCCAGCAAGTACCAACATCACAATGATTTGGGAATGGTAGTTTCCAGGTAAGTTCATTGTTGATCACATCCTTGAGAATATGAAAATGGCATTCAGGTCCAGTTTATCCAGGACTTTTCTAGCTGTCAAATGCATCAATTTAGCTCAGAATTTGGACCAGTTATAGAACTACAACACCACAAGGGGACAAAGACACAGGCCAGGCACATGGTAGACATGTGCTTCACACCAGATGGATCACAGAACTGTCCATACCTGGCTGATGCGGTCTGATCCTGCCATTGGCTACTGCAAACTTACAGTCTTAAACTTGCAAGAGTTACCTCCCATATTAGTAGAAAACATAAAATCCTTTTTCTGCACTGTCGGAGGACACAGGGGCAGAACAAGTCTCAGGTTGTGCATGTGTGTTGTAACAGCGGATGAACAAGTATTGTGTGGTTATGAAATGGGCCGGCAGGACAAGAATCTACAATCACCATTACGTAAGTCCTTCTGTGACACCGCTGACATACAGCTGACTACAGTGTATCTCACTCTCTTAATAGTCTGATGGTAAATACATCCTGAAGATTAATTTGAGATATGACTGTACCCCTTCTACAGTGAGCAATCACATAGTCACCTTGAATTCCTTTGGTTTCTCTTCAATTGTCTTCAGATTGATCCCAGACAAGTACGGCAGCGTTGCTTTCACTGGTGTCGGTACGAAGGGGTTGGTTGGCAAGTTGCACAAGATGGCTGCCCCGGCAGCAACCCCAGCCACTCCCAGCAATACACGGGACAAGCCCATCGCAGGGAGGCTGGAGTAAACAAACATTAATAATACCAGTATTGGAGTTAAAATTAAAGGAAATCTAACTTAATGGCCTTCCATGGAAAATACAGTCTAATCTTCAATGCTCAAAAAATTGTAGAACTACCGGTACATAGATCTAATATTATTATGCTTTTTGGAATATATCAATATTTTTAGTCTCTTCAGGAAACAATATTTCAGTGCACAGTGACTGAAAGTTTCCAATTAATACAGGCTGACCTAACACAATGGTTACTGGCCCATTTCACGACACCAACCCCATAAAGATTCTGGCTAAGATCAAGATCTCATCAACCTATCCTGGATATAGGTGAAAATATGGACTGTGTGATTGGCCACTGAAAGTTGACTTTGTTGATTGTGCTCTTTCACATCTTGAAATGTATTATCCTAATATCAATCGATGGATTGTCTCCCAGATACAGGTTGTCAAAATATACATATGGAAATTAAAATACGAAACACCTAATTCGTAGAACTATAATTTTGTGAATTTAGAAAGCAGAACATTTCTCAGAATGATTTATTAACATTGCATCTTGCTGTACTGCTTGATTTTTAGAGGAGGTATTCGATGCAGGTGCAATGGTGTGCAATGTCATACCCCAACAATGTTGAAATCAAATGTTTACTGATAACATGTCACGCTCTCTACTTTCAATTTGGACTGAATATTCAGTACCATAATTGTCATGGAATGTCATAATTGTCAGAGGCTACACGGAGGCAAATTACTGGCTTGAGAAATGCAGGAATGTCCCTAACATAAATCGGGAATCCAGTTGGGCACAATCCTTACTTCATTTCAAGACTCTTGGACAAACACAGGGCTACCAATGATTGTAAAGATCTTCCAAGACCTGGCAGATCCCGTAAGACAACAAGAGAGGATATAGCATTGTTGAGACTAGTTAGGTGGTGTTGTTCATGAGGCTCGAGCACAGCAACAGCATTTACCAGGGAGAGCCATTCCTGCAGGTCCATCAGGAATCGGCTGAAAGCAGCAGGTTACAGGTCCAGAAGACCTATCAAGCATATAGTCATCTCCAGCTCATAAAGCAGCACGACTTGCCTGGTATAATCAACGTGTTCGCTGGACTGACTGACTTACTGAGTTTTGGTTTTACGCCGCTTTTAGCAATATTCCAGCAACATCACGGCGGGGGGCACCAAAAATAGGCTTCACACATTGTACCCATGTGGGGATTTGAACCCGGGTCTTCGGCATGACGAGCCAACGCGTTAACCACTAGGCTACCCCACCGTCCACTGTTCGCTAGAACATTGCATCATGGCTGATGAGAGTCATTTCTTACACCATATGGTGGATGGTCGTACACGTGTCTGGAGACCAGCTTTGGTTTCCTGTAATATCCAGGTGATGGTTCCCTGTAATATCCAGGTGATGGTTCCCTTTGGGGCAAGGTCAATCAGTTCTTGCAATAGAATGCTGTTGAGACCTCCCATGGCCAGCCATGAGTCCAGATCTCAATCCCATTGAGCATCCGTGGGACATTTTCGGCAGTCGTGTTCGAAAGACAGACCCACCTGTCCAGACTCTCAATGAACTGACTGCTGGTGTGCATGAAGAATGGAACAGGATTCCTCAGAAACAAATCCGGAAACTGATCCAAGGAATGAAGAGGCACCTTGAATCAGTTGTTCGTGAGCAGGGAGCTAACACATGATACTGATGGAAAGTAAGTATTTGGACTTGCAAGACATTATTCTTCAATTCTGTGAATAAGATGTGTGCATGGTACTGAGAGTTAAGTCTGTGCAAGAAAATGAAACTCATAATGTATTTGCATGAAATGAAATGATTTTCCAAATCTGCACCATCCTCAGATAAACCAGATTATGTCATGGTAATCTTGGAGTGAGTCAGTATGGTTTTACGCCACTTTTAGCAATATTCCAGTAATATCACGGTTGGGAACACCAGAAATGGGGGTAGTCTTGGAACTTTTCTCCTCCACCCTTACTTTTCACTACAACATATATTTGGTATGGAAATCCAGGGATTTACAGGATGCGAATTCCTGCGTCCGATATACATAAAAATTGACAATGGATGCAACACAATTTATTAGCGCGTCCATAGGGATGCAGAAAAAGTCCAAATACTTTCTGTAAAAATTCCAATCAAGTGACAGTACTACTACTGCTACTAACTGGGTTATGGTATTATTTGCAATTTAATTACTGTAACAATGTGGTGATCACGATACACATTACAATAAGTGTAACTGAATAACAACAATATTACAACTTAGTATTAATAATAATATTTAAGTGTAAGGGACCCCCATTTTGTAGTCCAGGGCCCTGAAAATTAAGAGTATGAGTCCCAGGGACCCTCAAATACAGGACTCAAGGTAAAACCCTGGAAATCTTTGACACATTTTATGCACTAGTTCCTTAAAGTTGCTCAGTCTGAGAATATACTGATGCTGTTTCATCAATTTCCATGTTTATATCCAGAAATTTGCAAACAGCAGCATTAAACAACAAGTGTGAAAACCAGACAAAGAATACCAGGACACAAAAGTTAAAAAAATGACAAGTAACTTTAAATTTAAGCATTGAATGTTATATGATAATTTTATGCTACATTATTTATATTTGCTACCGAGGTGGTCTGCCAGGTACTAGTTTACTGCAAAAACCCTCGGCCTGCTAGATTGTTGACATGCAACCTGCAGACACTAGTGGACTGTCAACATAATCACTGACATTTTCATGTAGTCTATAAGCGTATGAGATACTGATGCTAATTTAAGAAGTAAAGGTAAAACTGTATTGATTATATTTAATCTGTAAAGAATTACTTACAGTCATCTCCTGATGTAACAAACTCAAACTCCGAATTTCAGTTTTTCCTAACTAAGGTCATACATCACTTGTATCTTTCTATTTCTGTTGCTGGAGTAGAATTGTGTTTGATTTCAACTTTTTGATAAAGGTGAATTTGTTACATGTGGAGTAGGCTGTGATAAGGAGGTTTAGCAAAGAGAGAGGTTACTGTAGGTGAAATGTGGCAATACCAACCCGTAGAAAGCTACAACTGCTACTACAACTGCAACCACGACGGAGTACCCAGCTCTACCCGTCATTCACGGCCTACAGACATAAAGTTGTAATAATGCTGTTACCGCTGCACACTGAACTTGAACATGTCATTGCAAGATGTTTCATTACCATACAGTAGCTAGTCCATTGTGTGATGTTTTTCAAAGGGTTGTTTATTATTTCGTTATTGGTGTACATTTAGTATCAACAGACTTGTATTGACAAATTTGTAAAGAGCTCATTGATATAATCATATATGCCAGGTTGTATTGAACACCTGTGACACAAAAACAGGGCAGAGGACTGTCTGCTCATAATTCGGTTAAATTTGTCACCATGTTTTCACCTAACGTAGGTCTAAATGTACTATACGATCTAAACAGTGGCTAACTACAAATTACAATTGATCATACAAATTACAATACCACGCTTCCACAGGTTTCAAAGGCCAATGTCTGAGGCTTACTTGGCCTCGCTGAGCGATCTCCGTCTATTGTGAACAATGACTCGTCACTATTTTGGTGACGGTACAAGCAGGGTAACTCGCCGAGATATTTTGACATTTCGCAGTCGCGACTTTGGACTGCATATCAATGACCCGTCACCTTCTAGGGAGCTCGATCGGCGATGGCTAACTGGGTCAAAGACATGCTATCTTATGAAACATCCCCATATCTTACAATGAAGAAGTACTGCTCACCTAGGGTTGGATAACAACTCTTGGAGTTTGGACAGAGTCATTAACTTATATTAAAGTTGTCATATTTCAACCCATGACATGTTGGTACACCATATTCGCGAGGGGTTCATCTAAGGGAAGTAACACTGTCAAACTGAAAGAGTTATCCCCTCTTTGGAGAAAAACCTCGCTTGCTCTCTTGGTTGGTGATTCGACACCCAGACATGAGAGACTGTATCCACAGAGACCATATAATATATGTATATATATATAATATTATATGGTCTCTGGTATCAATAACGTTAATGATAATTAGAAAAGGAATCAAACTCGTCCAGATTTCCTCAGATCTGAAATTAGGCTTGTGAAGTTTACCTTATATCTATCTGAGAAAAAATATATTTCAGGGACTGCATATTATTTTACCAGATGTTGTTTAAATATATATACCTAATAATAATTAAGGATCGCAACACGAATTATCTCCCTTCTTTCTGTCCAATCAGAACACGTGTTACATCAACTTGACTAATACAAGCAAATGTTGGGTCACAAATATCCCTCCTCTGCCAGGAACTTGTGTTGATGTGACACACAAGACATTTAATGGCTAGCTTGTCCGTTGTCAACGAGGGCGATGGAGACGCCATTGATCCGCCATTTACATGACTGAGTTCTGTCTATAAGAAACGTTTGCGCATCGCGCAGGGAAAGCGGTTCTAGTTTTCCCGAAGCATACGGAAATAACCGAGGCCTTGCGAATGATCACTTTAGAAACAACGTCGCTGATTGCACAACTAAATCTGATTGCAACCAATCACGAATCCTGAACACTCGCACCATGAAAGGGACGTTTTAGAACAGGTTCGTAGGAAGAAATGACAAGTAACCTCTGTGGGAGGAGAATGGGTGCGGGTTAGAATGAACCTTCAGTAACGCATGCTTGTCGTAAGAGGCGACTAATGGGGTCGGGTGGTCAGGCTCGCTGGCTTGGATGACACATGTCATCGGGTTCCAATTGTGCAGATCGATGCTCATGGTGTTGATCACTGAATTGACTGGTTTGCCTTGTCAAGACTGGATTATTTACAGACCGCCGCCAAATAGCTGGAATATATTGCTGAGTGCGGCGTAAACTAAACTCACTCACTCATTACCAATGGATGACATTGCATTGTATTTTTCACAATATTGAATATACAAACGCAACCATGACGTTAAACATCTCATGTTTTAGTGAAATTACTTTGCGATGGATTCATTATTTATCATTCTTGAAATGTGCAGAATTTAAGGGTACCAGGCAGAAGGGTTGGTGTACTCATGCAGTTTTGCGTTGCTGTGAAATGACTGTGAACGTTCTGAAGTACAGTAACTTTCATCACTGTAAAATAAACATATCTCGGATGTATTTGTACTGAAAAAGAAGAAAACTGCATGAGTACACCAACCCTTCTCCATTGTTAATAACTTATAGAATGACCATTGAAAGGGGGCGGTGGGGTAGCCTAGTGGTTAAAGCGTTCGCTCGTCACGCCGAAGACCCGGGTTCGATTCCCCATAAGGGTACAATGTGTGAAGCCTATTTCTGGTGTCCTCCGCCGTTATATTGCTGGAATATTGCTAAAAGCGGCGTGAAAGCAAACTCGCTCACTCACCATTGAATGTTTTCAATGAAATGTGGCTTTCACATGCAAGGCTTTGTGGAGCCTCTTTTACAATTATAAAGGAATATTTAAAAAAATTGATCCTATAAACCAATTCAAACACTTGGTATCATGATCATATGTATGCAAACGAGGTCACCTAGCAGGAAGTACTTTAAATCACATACGTTGGTTCCATGTCTGCCTTCTGGTGTCCCCCGCCGTGATGTTGCTGGAATATTGCTAAAAGCGGCGTAAAACCAAACTCAGTCAGTCAGTCAGTCCATGTCTGCCTGATAAGCAGACTACTAACTGACGTTCTCGGTTGGTTGAGATACCATTGTGCAGACGAACATTGCCGAACTTCATTTGCCCGATAATGATAGATGGGGAGGCTCAATCAATCACTTAATTCATACCGATTTTATGAAGCTAGTCTATTGTGAAATTCTTAAACAACATGTATTTTTATGAATGACTGAGGGGTGCACAGTTCATTTTCACCCATTTTAACGAGAGTTTCAATGGACATTTACTGAACTTTCAGGACAAAAAGGGGAACTCCCCCACACCGGATTTGTTAAACATGTGTTCTTTTACTTGTTTTTCGTAGTATATATGAGTATAACTTGTGGAGCCAGCTATTGTATCTGAATCTGCCTGGATCTCTGCAGCCTCTGTGCATTAGTGGACTCTCTCCAGAGACTGCATTGTGCGGACTGTCACCGTCCGTGCACTTCCTGTTGTCAGTTCCACGTTCGTCATGAGCAGGGTTCCCACGAGAACAGACAGCTGCTCTAATAGACTAAGGCTTAGTCTCTGAATATATATAATTTTGATAGGAACAAACAAGCCCATTTATATTGAAAAGGAGCCCTAGGGAGACCAGATCTCGACTTGCTTTATTTAGGGCTTTAGCACTGCATAGAAGGCTAGGCAGTAGGGAAAATAATGTGGTTCAGGGACTGTGAGACAGACTAGAGGCTGGGATAAGACATCAGATTTGGTACAAACCAGAGGCTGATACAGGTCCCACAACACTGAGGGAACCCCCTGTCTTGTTCATAGACACACTCAGCAACCACTGCAACAGACATAGGAAGCAGAATAGTCTGATTGTCTGATTGTGTCATTGTCTAATTGTGTCATTGTCTGGTTCTTTCTGGAAGCCATTATTTGATGGATGCCACAATTTTATTGTTACAATAACATCAAGTTTCGTCATGTCTCAACGCTCAACATTTCCAAGCTGTTTGGTTTGAATTCCAGATTCCAGCTGATAATGATCCATGTTGACTAAGTGCCACACCCATTAAATATATGAGTAAACATCTGAGAAGACCATCACTCTAGATCTTCTTCCTTCCTCACCACACCCTCCACATGGAGTGACACAAAGCGATATGACTGTAATCTATATTGAACAAACTTTATGGATAACAACTTCTTTATTTCATGAGTGTTATCCTGAACCTGAGGAAATCTAGACTTGCTTTATTTAGGGCTTTAGCACTGCAGAGAGGGCTAGGCAGTAGGGAAATTAATGTGGTTCAGGGACTGTGAGACAGACTACTGCTCTAACAGTGAGCAGCAACATCGCCGTGGAACTAGTTGAGCGCAAGTGGGACATACACTCTCTGTGAGTGAGTTGGGTTCAACGCTGTTGCGAACAGTAGTCCAGTTATATCAGGGCTTGATGTGTGAGAGTGAGTGAGTTAAGTTTTACGCCGCACTCAGCAATATTCTAGCTATATGGCGGCGGTCTGTAAATAATCGAGTCTGGACGAGGCAATCCAGTCATCAACAGCATGAGCATCGATCTACGCAACTGGGAACCGATGACATATGTCAACCAAGCCAGCGAGCCTGACCACCCGATCCCGTTAGTCGCCTCTTAGGACAAGCATGGGTTACTGAAGGATCATTCTAACCCGGACCTTCACGGGTATGATGAGAAAAGACCGAAGAGATGCAGGTCCCAAAATACACAACTTTAGTGAAACTGACGAGCACAGGGATGGTGCTGACAAACCTCGAAACGTTATCGTAGAGACCAGAGATTCGAATCACTAATCACCGGTTTCTGGCGTTCCCAAGGGACGCAACTATGCACGGCGAATTGTGGAACTAATACAACTGGGTCACATGTGCCCCATTTACACTCGGGAGGACTGATAATATATCACCTACACAAGGAGATCAGAAGGGATCAACAGGATCACACGATCACTTCCTTACTTTTTCCATGGACACGTTTGGAATTATATACATTAGTTAGCTTCTGAACCACCAGTGTCAACACTGCACGTTACTCCCATAGGCGCCCGACTCTGATATATTGAGTTTGAGTGAGTGAGTTTAGCTTTACGCCGCACTCGGCAATATATTTATAAGCATGACCTATATATATATATATATATATTTATAAGATATAAGTAAATTTATAGGTCATGCTTATAAATATATCAGAGTCGGCGCCTATGGTTACTCCCATACAGTTCCGATTCCGTTTAGTGTAGGGGGTGGTTGTCAGTCAAGTGATTAAAGCTAGCGTCCGCTCGGTGAAGACCCGGATTTGCTTCCCCTCAACGGTACAATGTGTGAAACTCATTTCTGGTGTCCCAGTCTTTGTATTGATGGACTGTTGTCGGGGGCGACGTAACACAATACTCACTCACTTGATTGAATGGCGCCTTTGTGAGACGCATCTCACAGAAGTGGAACCACAAAAACATTCATCAAGGACTCATCATATTACTTTGCTGAAATCATAAAGCTGACTTAGCTTTCGTACCAAAACAGTTGTGACTGAAATTTGTTAACTTCGACCGATCGAGGATGAAGTTTAATGAAAATAGTTACGTTCTTGACAGGAACACGGCAAGGGAAAGAACAAAGTGTTCAAGAATACCACTATAATTAGGCAGTGAACGTTTTGTAAAGTTAAGTATAAACCTCACTACAGTTAAGCTCTGGAGGTATCAAAGTAAAATGTTGGTTTGAAGAATCCATTTCAAATTTCCAATCAGACTCCTGCCTAGGTCGTATCTATTTGCCTGTATTACATTTCGGAGGTATAACCCAAGCTACGCAGGACACATACACCTGTGCACTCTGGTTAACAAGAAACTAGGGTTAAATCCTACCTCGTTTGGTAATGTAGCCACAATATCGCCATCCTAAAAAAACACCATACACCCTAGTTGGTAAACTTTGAAACAAACCAACAAAACAAACTGTCAATGTAGAACAAACCATGGACACCACAACAAAACTTGGACCTGAACAAAGTCTAAACACTACTTTTCAACATGTAAAACCATTTATTTAGAGCGAAAGTGGATCAGTATTATGCCACTGAACCAGTATTCCAGCAATAGCAGGAAACACCCACGGGGTTACAGACATTATAAGCATGTGATGATTTGAACTCAAGCCTTCAGCATGACAAGTGAACTCCACAAGGATACCCCACTGCCCCCATTTACTTCAGGTTGCTGACACTCACAACAGGCTGAGGCCATTACCAATTGCAGCATACAGTAGCCACTCACTAAATGCTAATATAAAATTGTCACGCCTCAAGATTAACTCTGTGTCACCTTGCTAATTTAAGAGCAGTTAATCCTCTCACCCTTCAGAGAATGCCGGCTTGTAACCCTTGTTTCATGTTAGGGCACGCAAGCCCACTCGGTAAAATGCGCGTGTAAACATACTGACAGGTGCTCAGCCATCCGGATATACGAGAAAAAAATGCATATGATTTACCATTTGGTATGTGAAAATGACCGTCCGGTTACGGAAACCGGATTTCCGGTTAAGTGAGTAGTTTTACAACGTTGTGAATTCGTTTTAATGAATTTTCGTTCGGAAGGCGAGTTTTCCGGATATCTGAGGTTCGGATAAACGGGGCACGACTGCATTAGCAATGTTCTCATTAACCAGGATCCTATTACCTAAAACGGGGTGATGAGGAGTTGTTGTTTTAACAATGTGTGGTAGTATTGGGATGTGGAAGTTTTGGGATATAACCCAGTTAACTGGTAGCTTTCAACTGAAACTCTATAACCACTAACTAAACAATGATGCTAATCAACTAACATTCAGCTTCTCATTCTAAACAGTGTAGATGGTGTAACATATATTTGCAGGGCTCGATTTAAGAAATGTTAATCTACTTGCACCAGGTGCAACCTAAGATAAAAAACTAGTTGCACCAGCCAAATTTCAGTTGCACTGTTTTTATTGTAATATATGTAATGAAAGAAATATGCTATTGAATTATTTAGATGTTTTATTCAGAAGTTTACCCACTTATCATTACACAGATTAGGCCAAAAACATTCATTGATTGGACCAATTAATTCTCTCGCCTTCTTGTTATTTGCATATGTCTGGCCTGATTTAATTCCAAGTATTTCTAAAAGTTCAAGCCTTTTGGGGAAATCTGTAAATGTTCTTTTCATTTTTTGCTATCCAGTATGCTACCATAAATAAAATCTTCATGGTGTTAACCTGATTTTCTTGCATTTTTTTCCAGTGGCAAAACTGATTTATTTTTGTGCTAGTTGTGGGGCCTCAGATCTGAGTTGAGCCTCGATCACTAGTTTGATGGATTACTATCACACTTAATCTTATAGACTTGCACCCACTCCTAAAAGAATTACTTCCGCTTTTATCATACTTTTGACAAGTGACACAAGACATGCCATTTTCAATCTCATCATAATGCAACCAATCCCCGTTTTCTCCATTCCTCTCTACATTTGTAAGTCTAAAATATTTTAGCATTGCATGTGGTTTGATTTACGTTTGTCTCTAATTTGCGTTTCAATTCAGCATATGTAGTTTTATCACCGGGCCTCGAACTGCCACACGCATCGGCAATGTTAATGGAATCACTGGTGTTCGTCGTTCTGGCACGTTTCTCAGTTTCCGAGTTTTGTTAACCACTTTTGTAGGCTACTTGACTTGATTTCTTCAGAAAAAATGTTATAATGTTTGCCTGTTGTTTACTTTTGCTACCCATGGTTATTTGCATTCGGTTTGGATAATTCAAGTGGACAGGAGGCTTAGCGTTTCACACAGCCATGTGTGATAAAGATGTCAGCTATCACATAAAATGATAGTGTAGTGTGTTCACATGTCAGAGGTTTCAGTGCACATAAACATATTTCCGTGAAGTACCTCTGAAACCATAGCAACAAAGCCACATAGCTGATCCCTGTTTACAAAAGCTGTCATAGCTGAGAGGTGTCAATAAATAGCAATGTTTTGGTTCCATAACTATTCAAAGTTTAGAAGAAAAATGAGGTGACATAATTATGCTTATAATGTTAGATTTATTGTTGATTTATTTCTCAAAAACTGACTTGCACCTGGTGCAAGTTAGACTAATAACTAGGTTGCACTTTGTAATGTCGGTTTGCACCAGTGCAGGTAACAAAGCACTAAATCGAGCCCCGATTTGGGATTACACTTTCTCAGAAAAAGTACAGATTCCAGTACTTTTGTTAGGTTGTATCCCACCCAGAAATCAAATTCCCTCTCTCAAGAGTCAGGCCTCCAATCGCCAGCGTACCAAGTCAGCCATCTAATTGAGTGGCATCACTTCAAGTGTATCATGTATAATAATGTGCTGTGACTATGTACTATGCTATTATGATGTGCTATAACCATTTCAATATCTATCTATCTATTTATCTATCTATATACATGTAGCTGATTAAGATGTGGGAAGGAGCCAAGGGGCTGCAAGCAGGAGATGACTACCGATGTACCGGATCTCAATCCTTGACACACAACCCATAACAAAGGCATCAAACATTCATGAATATAAATACTTTATTCTCATAAGCACTTTTCACTTGCATTCGTGATCACATTTACAATGTCATCACCATCTGTGAGGGCACATTTGCTGGAAGTTCTGATCCATTAGGAGCAGTCTGCAGCTAGTCACTGGTCACCTGGCCAGAGAGGTCTCTTCAACAGGACAGAGATGTTCACCAGTCTTTAGTGTCATAGATCATTTCACATGACGAACATACATTCCTCATAAAGTAACAGATGTATCATCGTCGCCATAACAAATTACAAGTTAACATGACTGGAAGTGAGGCACCTCCAACATATTCGTCACATACTGAGCAGGACTGCCCAGAAGTATGTTGCATTACTATCTCCAAGTTATTGTCAAGTGTTAAAGCTGACAGTTGTGTTCGTGTTGACAGTTGTGCGATGTCTGTCACTGCTGGATCTGTGCCTCCATTGTCTTCAGCATCCATTCCGGTGCAGTCTGGGAGATCTTCTCAATGATGTGGTTCACCTGGAAACAAAGGCTCTGAATCTGCCGGTCCCAGGTGGGAAGTGTCTCTCGTGCTGTAGGAACACACACATGCATCAGCAAGTCATGAGAACAAGTTCATCCCTTAAACGTTAGTACAAACAAATTTAATTAAAACATGAAAGGTATGTTTTACTAGGGCCTGTGTTTCTTAGAAGCTTATGAAAGTTATGTACAATGATTTCTAAATGTATGTTAACTTTAACAGTAAACAAAGCCTCCATTCTTTGACACATGTCAGAATAGAAGTCTTTCATGCTATATCATCAATATCATGCAGTAATACATTTTGATGGCCACAGGAAGTACATCACAGGTACATCACAAATATTTGATACTAATTTTTGTTTCAGTAGATGCATCAAGAATGAGTGCGTGAGTGAGTTTAGTTTTACACCGCACTCAGCAATATTCTAGCTATATGGCAGTATTCTGTAAATAATCGAGTCTGCACCAGACAAGCCAGTGATTAACAGCATGAGCATCGACATGTGTCAATCAAGACAGCGAGCCTGACCACCCGATCCCGTTAGTCACCCCTTATGACAAGCATGGGTTACTGAAGACCAATTCTAACCCGGATCTTCATGGGTGGCATCAAGAATGTGGCAGTGCCATATTTGGATCTAAACGTCCCAGAAGATACAGGACATGTTATAAAATGATACATCACATGATATAAGGGTGACTCAGAGCATTCACTAACATTATAATTTAGCCTTACATCCTATAAATTGTTACAAGAAGAAAGAAAGAAAACCTAATTTTAAGATTTCTGTTACTAGAAAAAAAATCTGGATTGAGGAGTGGGGGCTTTATATGAAGAAAATACAACCTAGATGTACAATCATGGTCACTCAATGAAAAACACTTCAGCTCCCAATAACTGGTATATCGCAATCTGGATACCTGTATATACTGCAATACAATGTCTTTGCCAGTACCCTTCCCAAGCAAGTTACACTGGATTAAACTTTCAGCGGACTTCTGGATATGAATTAGATTTTTAACTTATGTTAACTTGGCCCAAAAAATGAAAATATGATGTTAAAAAAATGCAATACACCAGTATATCCCAGACATGTTGCAATATGAATTCAACAGTATTTCAGATTAATGGTATTGTGGTAATGCTGCGAACCTGTAATAGGATGTAACTGTACTACATCATGTTGTATTGTACAACCTACACAAGGTGGGGGCATGGGACAGCTGCTGATGTCAGGGAATAGTTATACACGAGTTAATGCATAACGAAGATGTACTGATGTGTTGATTTACCTTCAAAATGGACAATGGAGTCAATCTGGTCTATGTTCCCATTCATACGGCCTTCGGTGATCATCTGAGAGGCAATCTTTTCTGCCTGAATAAAAGGACAAAAAAACTCTACAGGTAAAAGTTCATCCACATTCTGCACTCAATAAGAAAACAATTACGTTTTAAAGGTGAGGAATGGTGTGTGTAGTGATCACACTTGAACAACTAGCAGGAAGATCTATCAGTTCAAGGTGTCTTGTGTTGACCCACAGCTTGTCAACATTATGGTGGCTTGGAGAAGTTATGTCTAGCAAAGTGTCCGCACAAACAATTTACATCAACATCAACAATTACAGTAACAGTTTTTGCTGAGGTCTTGCCTTTGATAATAATCCAAACCAGTCTACTGTACTTTAATGTTTAGTCCTTTTAATAATTACTGGGCAATGATACATCTGTCTACTGGAGTGAGAGAAGGAACAATTCAGTGACATCCCAACAAATGAAACTTGGTCAGCCCAGAAATCCCTTTTCTAACCAATTACTGTTTGGGATGTCTACCGAAGCTTAGCTAAACCATAGGTGGGAATCATCAAGACATACTTTCTGCTCTAAAGGGTTCCAATGGTTGGTGTGATGAGATGGTGGTGCACTAACTAGTTAAAGATGTCAGGGCCAAGTTCAAAATTTCATTTGCAGATGCCACTAATATCAGGTAAACCACCTATGTTGGCCAAACATTTGAATTCTTGAAGAATGTTTTTTGATAAGTAGACCAAATTCACTATGACTTATGTTTTTCTGCTCATTAGTGCGAGCTGCACCAAGTTCATTGAGGGTGGTGGGTGGAGTTTGATGTCAACATTTACTTGACTTCCTGTAACTCTAGAAAGGATTTTGAAGGACATAAAGAAATGTTTAACAACAAGAAGACAAAGTCATCAAAATCCCCCGCAATGGCAAAATACTCTTCATGATTATGTCTACGAGTTATGATTATGTCAAATATTTAGGTGTGTATATAGAAAAGTGGAAGGAGAGTATTGAAAGGTTTTTAAAGTTCTGCTCCGGAAAAGAGCACTACCACCAATTTCAGTCTAAGTCGAACTTGTTACCATGGAAATGCCAAAACTATTTTATTCAGAATTCCAAAACTACCAAAAGGCAACCATGGAAATGCCAAAACTATTTTATTCAGAATTCCAAAACTACCAAAAGGCACCAGTACACCACCAGATCCATGTATGTGCCAAGTTTGGTGAAGAAATATTGAACGGTTTTAGAGTTCCGGAAAAGACAAATGTGCACGGACGGACGGACGGACGGACGGAGTCCATTTTAATACCCCCCGCAAAACGCGTTGCGGGGGATAACAACAACTGAATGTGTTCCTAAGATGGCCTCTTGTCAGACACCTACCTTCTGTGGAGGAATCTCCAGGAGGGAGCCCAGCTCTTCAAATGAAATGTTGTTATAAAGTTTACTAGCAGAGAGCAAGTTGTGTTCTATCACTGCTCGGTCCAAAATGGTTGACCCTGAAACAAACAAATACTTTGACAAATCAAATATATTCAGACAAGAAAACTGCATATGGCAAAACAAAATCACTCAACACAGACTGTCTGCTACCAACATAGCCCACCAAACACAGACTGTCTGCTTCCCTCCTATCACATGATCACTGACTGTCTGCTTCCCTCCTATCATGTGATCACTGTCTGCTATCTTCCTATCATGGGATCACTGACTGTCTGCTTCCCTCCTATCATGTGATCACTGACTGTCTGCTATCGTCCTATCATGTGATCACTGTCTGCTTTCTTCCTATCATGTGATCACTAACTGTCTGCTTCCCTCCTATCATGTGATCACTGTCTGCTATCTTCCTATCATGTGATCACTGACTGTCTGCTTTCTTCCTATCATGTGATCACTGACTGTCTGCTTTCTTCCTATCATGTGATCACTGTCTGCTATCTTCCTATCATGTGATCACTGACTGTCTGCTATCTTCCTATCATGTCATCATTGTCTACTTCCCTCCTGTTATGCAATCACTGACAGTCTGTAAAATTATCATGAGTGCCTGCTACCCTTCCACAATCTAAACACAGACCATCTGATTCCCTCATATTGTGTGGTCACTGACCGTCTGCTGTGATGGCTTTCTGGTGGGGTTGCAACAAGGCTTGAAAGTCCTGGAGGTCACTGCTGCGGATGATGCGATCTAAGTACCTGCATGACGGAAAACACACAATCAATGTGAAGGTGAGCCTACCCAACATGAGTCGGCTCCTGGTACCACCCGATATTCATCTATTACTATGAACAGTAACCATATTTCTGTTGTGCTGTGCTTAGTGTTGTGTCTGTTTAGTGGAGGTATTGTGATTACCTATACTGTTGACACTACATTGAGTGTTCCACTCATATACACATAAACATTGTTCCAAGAGATTCTCTGATCACTGGGTCTTGTAACAGCTATACTTAAGCATTTGTGAGCTACTCACTCCATATTTAGACCCTGAGCAAGTCTGGATGAATCTCATTGTTAGGTAATTAAACTCATATTTTAAGAACAAATTATGACAGGAATTAGTTGTGAAAAGAAACTACAAAAAATAGATATACTGAATATATCCCAGAGATGCTTCAACAACCTGTGGTTTCCAAAATAATGTTGGCAGCAATACTGGGTTGCTTTGTAAACTTACATAGCGGTACATTTCTTTGTGTCTGATCTGACTTCATGTATAAATTGTGGTATCGTGGAAGTATTACTGTGTGTGGTGTTAGGGAACAGCCACCTACTGTTTTGTGCAAATTGTGTGTGTGAATGACAGGTGCTACAGTAGAGAAACACAGTAACCATATTGATGAACACCTGGTGTCATCACTGATTTTCAGTGATGTAGTCAAATCATACAATGTCCAATCATAATAATGGAGCATGTTTTGGCATGTCCTTGAGACTGTTTATTCCTTCCGGTGTTTTGGATTACTCATAACTGACTGATATCAACTGACAGAGAGTGTTGGCAATTTGTTTAAGCATGACAACACATGTAATAGTTCACTGCATTATGTTCACTTATAATTTTTCATTACAAAATTTGAGATTTGTTTCTGCGTGTGTGTTTTTTTATAATCCTTAGGCTTTACTTTCTACAAAAACCAATGTGACTCACATCTTCTCAAGGATGTTGAAGGCTGGCAGCTGCTGACACCTCTCGTCCTTGAATAAAGTTGCCAGCATGCGGGATCTCTGCTGACCTGGAAAGAAACAGTCAAGTCTGTGAGACAGCTGGCCCACATACTTACATAACTTATACAAAATAACAGGAAGTGAATATTTGTTTGTTATTTAATGACACAGTCAGTAATATGACAGCTGTATAATTTCATTCTGAATTATACATAATCAAACATGGACCAGACAAATGTGTGACCAGAGACAATATAATAATCTATTATATGGTCTCTGGTGTGACTGATACAATGAACAACCCTCCTATGCCATTGGGACATACAATCAAACACACTAGGGATGATCCGGGTTACAGTTGGTCTTCAGCAACCCATGCTTGTCGTAAGAGGTCACTAATGGGATCGGGTGGTGCTGACTTGGTTGGCACATGTCATTGTATCCCAATGTAGATCGATGCTCATGATGTTGATTACTGGTTTGCCTTGTCAAGACTGGATTATTTACAGACCACCACCATATAGCTGGAATATTGCTGGGTGCAGCGTTATACAACAACCAACCTACTACAATCAACCAGGTCACTGAGAGTCACCATCTGATTCATTATTTTGCCTATTACAACAAAAATAGGTTATAGGGACCCATTGTTGAATCCCTACAGTGCTGAGGTTTTAACAGGAAAACTGAAATTTCTTGGTTAAATATTCAGCAAAAATGCAGTCATAAGATTTGACAGCCTGTAAATTGTTATCAACTCTGGAACAGACAGAACACTGGTTTATAGGGTGAACATTAACCTGCTATTGTTTGTGGTGTGATGATTCACACTGGCAAGCCAGGTCACATTGTTGGTGTTCCCAAATGGCTATCTTCCTTACAAACCTCACGCTACGGCTACCAATGTCAAATTTTTATACACTACTAAAAATAACACTTAAAATATAAATGAACATCCCATCAAAGATAGGAGGGAAAGATGTGGTTTGGCCTGGATCAATGTCAATGACCTGGATGGTTGGATTCTAGCTCATCCTTCCAGTCACTGGTTTGACATATCCACCCTTAAGTATTTACAAGCAGCCGTGATATAGCAAGAATATTGCTAAATGTGACATTAAACATTTACCTATTCCCACAGAAACTACACAGGGTAATATGTCTATTTCATGTACATTCCTGCATTACATATAGCACATTGCACTTAGTAATGAAGTCCTAACTGGCAACGAACGATGAAGCAGTAGCGTCGTCAGTATGCTTTGGCCAAACATGATGACCTCCACAACCCCGGTGAAATCTGATGTCCAATGATGGAATGGAGGGGTTAAAAGGTCTATCCAGCGGGCTGGAGTGCTGATTTTTGGCAACAAAATCCCAGTGCAAAACCAAAAACAAGGTCTTCAAGGAGGTCCAGAGATCTTCAGAGATTACCCTGGTGTTTGGTCCAGGAGAGAGGCTAGAGAGAGAGAGAGAGAGAGAGGGAGAGGGGAGAGAGAGGGAGAGAGAGAGAGAGAGAGAGAGAGAGAAAGAGAGGAGAGGCAGAGGTAGAGAGAGAGAGAGAGAGAGGGAGAGGGGAGGAGAGGGAGAGAGAGAGAGAGATATGGAAACTAATCTATGGCTAGGGTATCAACCGCATGAAGGTCGTCAGCTGTCTGTTATGTCTAGTGGCAAACCCAACTGCTGGGTTAGTAGTAGGAAACATTGCCCATGCAGTTTTCTGTTGGAGATGGGTGGTTTGGTTGTGATAGCACGTCAGCTAGGACGTTCCTGCACCTGGGGATGTGTCTCACTCTGGCCTGTATCAGGATCTGGTATGATAAAACAGAAGTGATAAAAGCCTTATTTGTTGATGAAGACTGAGTTAGTTGCTAGTCCTTGCAATATGTTGATGACTGACCAACACCAGGGATATTACTTGCTAGGAAATGGGCAATTGTACGTGCAATATGTAATCCAGGATAAGTTAAGAATGTCATTGGTCTACATCAACCCCATTACTAGATGTTTCCCTTGTTCCTAAGCCCATGAAGTAATGAAGTCCTGAAAAGAATCCTGCATCAGTTTTTAGAAATAATCCCTATCGCTTATCTTCTGATTGTTTCCTGTTCATCAATATCAGAAAACTTTTCATCAGAGAACCTTCATTATAGGCAATAGGTAAATAGACATGAGATAATGAAAAGTACCTGCTGAAGCCAGTATGGTACAGATGAGTGCATTCTTTAACGCTGTCAGCCTCTCTTGCTCTGCTACAATTGTCTTGTATGACAATTCATTGTATCGCTGGGCAGCCTCAATAAACTTTCTTCTGAAATCCAGTACTCGTGCATAACACGCCTGTAAACAATGAATACATGATTAGTCAGATTTTCAACTGTTAATTTTTTTTCTATAATTTCTGCTGTAATTCGTACTATTTGTCAGAATTTTGCCAGTTGACCTATTCTCAGTAATATCAGTATGTATAGAGATGTTAACACTTTTTACTAAATATATTATTGATTTGATTTGTCACTAAAATGAGAATACCCAGCCCCCAGAAAAGTTTTCACAAACACTGACAGAATATTGCTGACTGAAACATTATACAGGGATGCAATCTCAATTTGGAAAAGGACTTAGCAAGGGCCTTGATTAAACCCCAAGAAAATTAGGAAAGCTTTCTGAGGAAACTGAACGAAAGCAAACCCATTATGCAATTTATGGGAGGGATAAAATACCACCACCAGGGGGAAAAGTGTAAATACCCATCACCCGAAAGGGTGCAGAAACAGTCTAATCTCCAAAGCTCACTCAGCTAGAGAGTTCCGACTCTGCCCAGTGCGGAGAACTGACTGACCAAACCGAGCACGCTCGCTAGAGTGCGTGTTGAGTTGGCAGTGCTTAATGAACGTGCTACTGGCAAACAAGGATAAGTTGAGCACCGACCTGACAACTGACCCGTATTAGCATGTATGAATGCCGCCCACTGGCCCTTGCCATTGATAGCTAAGGGGCCCCAGGTTGTCCGCCATCAAGTGTAGTGTGATGGGTAAAGCAAGGCACAAGGCGTGTGCAGCTACACTCGGAATCAATTTCATCGTCATGCAACGCACGTGCACTAGCCTACATCTGCTCTATCTTTCACAAACCAAATGGGTTTGCTCATTGCCGTACACCGCCTACTTCTCGTAAACGAGTTCTCTGCGCCGGTCCAACTTTTCTTTGTTTGCCAGTAGGTTGACTCCAAATGACCGCTGAGCAGATCTTTTCAATGGTCAGGGCCGCAGCATATGCTTCAGAGGCTGCTACTGCCCTAACCGAATGAGCTTTTAAACCCTCTGGAGGAGATAAGCCCTTGTGGATTGACCCATGCAAATGGCTGAAACAAGCCACTGAGAGATGGTCTGCTTGCTTGCCGGAAGACCATCCTTCCCACTGCCGTAAAAGCAAAACAACTGATTATCCTTACGGATATCTTTAGCTCATTTGATATAGACCTTGAGAGTCTTGTGGACATCCAAGTCGTGAGCACGTCTAGGAGCGGTCCCCGACAAGGAAGGCTGAGAGAGAGCAGGGAGGTCAATAGGAGCCGTCTCGTCTCGTGGAAGGCGCTGTCTATCTTATCTTGTGAAAGACCGTCAGAAAGACCGGATCGATGGACATCGCATGAATGTCGCCAACCTATCTGCCACCACAAGAAATGCTCCCTTCCAACTTAACAGTTGGAGTGAAAGAGAAGACAGATTGTGAAAAAGAGGACCGGACAGCCAATTAAGGACAAATCCCAAGTAGGGCTGATCTGCTGGTTAGCGGGTCGGATCCTGTCCACCCCTGCTTGAAAACACAGCACCAACAACAGGTATCTGCATAGCAGGCTCATCTGTCCTTGTTTATCGAATCCTTCCGTGAAGCCAGAATTGTGTTTGCAAACGGTTCCTGGGATTTGGGTGTGGCGCTCCGTTCTGGGATAGAAGGTCCGGTTGGAAGGGTAATAGTACAGGAGGCTGCGCCAGAAAACTGAGGATTACCGGAAACCAAAGAGGTGCAAGTAGCAAAAGCAGTCGAGCTGGCTGGGTAGCTAGCTGCGAGAAGACCTTAGGGATCATCAGTATTGGTGGGAAGGCCCACAGTACCCTGTCCTTCCAATCGAAGGCGCCAGAGTCTAAAGCCCTCAGTTCGGGGATCGGAGAGCAGAACACTGGTATCTGGTTTGTCACTCCGGAGGCAAACAGATCCACCTGACACGACCCGTTCAACTGGGAGATAATCCCGAATATCTCCAGACTGAACATCCACTTGTGTGGGGCTAAGATGCATCTGGAGAGTGTGTCTGCTCAAACATTGTCCACCCGTGGAGATAAACAGGCATCACCTTACGTCATACTGGTCGCACCAAAGCAGGAACTGTCATGCCTCTTGAACGAGCGACATGGATACAGTGCCACCTTGCTTCAGGATATAAGTCATCACTGTCTGGTTGTCCATCTCGAGACGGACCACCTGATTCTGACCCTGCTCCACGAACCGTTCAAACACCAACCTGACTGCTCCCAATTCCAACACATTCATGTGTCTCCGACCAATGTCCGGACACTGACAGGTTGCTCAGAACACCTCCTCAACCCATGAGGGATACATCTGTTTGGATCGAGAGTGTCAGCATCTCTAGGGGGAGTCCCTTGTAGAGATATTCCCGACATTGATCCACCACTGAAGATGAGGAATCAACCACTCAGCCATGTTTCTTAGCAACTTGAGCCATGTCCTTGCTGAAACTCTGGGGGACTCAAGGAACTGAAGAGTTGTCTTCTGGACTTTGATGATGCGGTCTTGAGACTGGGAGACAAGGCCATGCTCGGAATTGAATCTCGCCCCAAGAAAGACCAGATCCTGCATCGAGTGTGTGTGGGGGTTTTTTGGGTTGTTTTTTTTCCCCCCACAGATATCGACCCCCGTCTGCAACAAATTGGTATAAAAGAACAATTCTGCGTGTCTGGTTTTACGCGCTCTTGGAGTAAAAAACCTAGACATATCCTGCATCCCTCATTGTCATGCCCCTCTTCCGCAAGACATAGGAGGCACAAGTCATGTGGATCTTGCGGGGGTAGGTTGGTCTGGCAAGTCAGGCAATGTTTGAAAGACAGCAAAAAGTCAACCAAACCTGGTAAGTGGTGTGTATATGTATGTAATGCATGTATGTATAACATTACACAAACATTACGTAAACAAGAATAAATTCATGCAAGGGCGTAAGGGCGATAATTATAATGTGAAGCAGAACATAAAAGCAAACACGGCAACACTGACTGAACATGTAAACATGTAGAAGAATGTATCATGCCGCTCGCCGCATCCGCCATCTTGACAAACATGTTGCTTGAAGTTGAGACTTTTGGCAAAGAGAATACAACACTAAATGCAACAGAAATTGCAGAAACGATCGAGCAATATTCAACTGGCAATATCGCTAAACAAACTGACAGAAGAAAATCATAGGTCGCGTAGCATCATCAAAACAAAAAAGCACAAGCTAGAAGCGATGACGTGTCACAAAACAAAATGTAATAAACATAATGTGATGTAATACACGCTACAACAATGCCTAATCGAAAGTGTATAAGCCTTTCCAGCGAAAACGTGCATAGGAATAAAACAGCACACATGTCTTAACTTGGTGAACGACAGCATAGAAAGTGATTAGCGAGGTTAGAATAACCTTCTCTTGGCTGTAAACCAAGTGAGGCTCTGCAGGGGTGGTTGAACAAGGCAAAAACCAGTTTTCTGTTTAGTAAAATTTTATTCAAAATATTGTTACAACTGTTGCAGGAATTTTTAAAGGACATAAAAATGCTAATAAGTACCCCAAGGAGGACCTTTTCTGAAAAAGAATAGGAGATGATATTGTTCCTCATCACCTTGTAGTGTATCTGGAGATGTTCGTTCTGCGTGTCAGCCTGGAGGAGAGATGCACGGTTGATGTACGCCTCTGCTTGCACAGGATCATCATCCTCCAGGTACAATCGGGCAATCTTCAGGTATGTCTCTAGCTTGTAGTCAGTGCTGTACTGCCTGAAAGTCACACGCAAATACATTATAGTCTGTTAGTGCATTTTGCTAACAGTACGAACTTACAATGAACTGAGGGTTTTCTAAGAGGCAACAACAGTAAAGTGGAAGCCTTGTTTGTTACTCTCTAATGTCAGCCTACTTCTGTCCAGTCTCCAGTGGAATTCCAACCAAGACGTTTGCTGCTTCCCTCCAGCACTGCTCCCGCTCGTAGATGTCTGCTAAGTGTTGTCTAATGGCTGCAACCTGCAGCATATAAACAACAAAGCTGTAAACAACCAAATAATCCAATTTGACAGTCCTTTGCAAATACCAACATAAACAAAAAAAAATTCATTCAGTGCATAATTATTGTATACTATAGATTCATAAAGAAAATATTTAAACTGTAGAGGATTTATGTGGAGAAAACCATTTAAATTACATGCCGGTAAAAGGAGATCATTTCAAATTTGTTTGTGTTTACCTGTTCTTCAAAAGATATGACTCTTGTGTGTATCTTGTCTAGTGTGTAGTGTGCCACCTGCTTTGCTATAGCATCTGGTAGCTTAGACAGCTGGGAGGTGAAATCTGACAGAATCTGCCGAGATATCACCAGGCTCACATTTTCATTCACCACTGCAATGACAAAATATGAAAGGTTCATTGCAAAGGTCAGTCTTTTCTGCTGGATTTGAATTTAACATAAATAAACATAATATTACAGTTACTTGTTTCTTAGGTTCCATTATCTTCACGATACACAACTGAAAACATACATGTAATGGGATTAGTACGGAATAAGAGCACGTATTCGAATGGGGTATCCTGGTCTTTACTCTCTACTTCTATAGTTATCAAATTGAAGGACCTTTTACATTGTTAACTTTGGGGTCATCTCAAGAATCCCTTGACTTTCATCCTTCATTTGAAAATTAAAATGTGCTTTGATATATATATATATATATATCTGAATTTTTTTTTTCAAAACTCCACTGAACACTGGTCCAGTAAACATTCCATATATATATATATCATAATCAGAGGTTGAAATTTATTTCAAAACTCCACTGGACACTATTCCAGTAAACTTTCAAAATCCACTTGACCAAATATTAATTTCACTTGACCACAATTAACAATTTGGTTTCTTTTGCAAATAATCTTTATCAGTTATAAACAACAGAACAGCTAATAATTTTTTAAGTTTTTAATCAATAAAACACCAATTAATGATCAGCTAATAAATGTATGAAATTTAGAGTATTTGACATCAATTATGATATTAAAAGTCTTTCTAAGAATACGCTAGGAAATAAAACATAGATGTTGGTTGGTAGCAATTGCAGTTTTATTTATTATATTTATTTCATCTTCAAAATACATATCAAAACATTTCAGTAGTCTGGCACTACTGTTCCACGGTAAAGTTTAATGTGGATATTTACTTGACCGACTGGAGAATTCCACTTGACCCAGGCGTCGGGCAATGGTATTTTTCAACCCCTGCATAATGCATTTGTAGAGCTCTTGATATCCACCTCAAAGATGCTAAGTGGCACTAGCTATGAATTGTTGCTAGAGACACAATGCTGAGCCTTCCACAAGTCTGTCAACGCTCTATGCGTCGTCGATGCACTGCTGTTCTCAATGCCGATGGTTGACATACCCGTTATTGAGCTTGTGACATGGTCGTTTGACCCCTCTCCTGCTTGTGGACTCGTGATGTCATTGTGATTGACTTTTCAATTGAAATTCTCCCGACTTGTTATGGTCTCATGATCCCTCCATTTAAGTTTATATGTACCTTTGACATTGTTATCGTACTTATCAACTGGGATAATATTTTGACAATGCACAGTTTTTTTATGTGGTTAGTATACAGGGTTCGAAATACCCCATGTATTAACGTGCCATGGCACGGTAAATATCGAAATGGCACAGATAAAAAATGTTCTTGGTGCCCTTATGGCATGCCTATTTTTTTAGAGACATAGCACACCTTTAGTCATTTATTCCCCAAAACAAAACACTTAAGCAAATGACAAACAAGCAAAAACATTTATTGACTTTATCGCCCAGGAAATCACTGGAATTATGATGGATGATGTAAAGAAATCTGGTTGTTTTTCCATTTAGAGTGTTGTGTTGTTCCATTTAGAGTGATAGTTTCGGTAAGTGAAGAGTAAATTGTGTATGTTGGACATATTGAAAAAAATGAACCTCTCACACGATTCTTAGCTATTAAAGGTGATGGGAAAGCAGAACAAATGTAACATAAGAAAGCCATCTTAAGCAGAAGACATATCAGTGATAACCAAAAACTGGTTACATTTGTTGTTTTCTGACAATAAATTTCAAAAGATCATCATCCTTGCTACAGTCATTGATTCTAAAAACATGTGGGCACACTTGATTTCTGAAAGGCACACCTAAAATATTTGCCTGGTGCCCTAAGGCACACTTAGAAAAAAAAGTATTTCTATCCCTGGTATATGTTGGATAGGATAGTTAAAGTGGAGAACTACAAAGCTAATATTTTTTTAGGTAGCAAAGGAGAGGGACAGCAATGGATGAGTAAAGCTGAAAACTCACAAGCTTCTACAAAGGCTTGCAGAGATGGGATCAAGTCAGCTCCACCAGTTTTCAATACAGCTTCAAGTATGGCTTTATATCTGAAAATGGAACAGTTATACTATATATACCTGAACCTTTTAAATGTCAGCTGAAGAGAAATTATGTCGTACTTCTTTTGGTTCTTTGCACTTTCATCAAAAGACAGACAAAAGATGGTAAGATTGCTGTTTACTGAGCGCAGCTACACAGTGCTATTAAATATTGCTATGGTTATTTGATCTTCAGATGCACTTGGGCTAACCTTATAGGGAAGGTTAGCCTCAAACCCTATCCTTATCAACTACATCACCTCTTCAACCAAAAGTTTAAAAATATTTATTCAAGGTCATCATGAGGTAAATGAGCAGTAATTATTGGTAAAGTCATGGCTTATCAACTAATTTACTGAAAGCTTGCAGTGCTATATTTCCATTTACCCAATGGAATTAAGGAAAGAAAAACAGTACCTGGAAAAGTCAAAACTATCCACAAGTTGTTCTTGCAAACAGTAACACAAATCAAAGGAAATCTTTATCAATAACAAAAACTGTGAGTAATGCACTTCTTTTAATTTCAATCAGCACTGTGTGGAGAATCAAACTCACTAAGCTTGCTTGAAGCTAAGTTTTGTTGATGAAACAATCTACACGTAATTAGCCAACTCACAATGGGTGATGGGTGCTATGACAAATAATCAGTGCTTGTTAACCAAGTGTTCAACACCAAATTGTTTACCTGTGACAGTAGCAATTTTCTCCACACACCTCAAAACTTGATTAAAAAAATGTAGATTTTCCTCAAATTGTACTAGATTTGTTCGATAAAAGAGAGAGCTGACAAAATACCCTACCCCACAACTAACCTTAAGGATCATAAAAGGGTGCCTAACATTCAGGATTGTGTCAGGGCATTTGATCAGTGGTGCCCTCTCCTAGGATAGTGAAGGGATGTTTGATCTGAAAGGGGTACCTGATCCAAATGATCTTAAAGCAATACAAAGGGCTGGAGACAGAATTAGGTGAAACATACCCAATACCAACAGAACTAACCCTGTGGAAAAGAGACATGCAAGGCCTGTGAAGAAAGAACCAGTCAGCAGTCTGAGCCAATCAGCGTTACTGTAATCTGCGCCTGGTAAACTAACTCTTGCACAAATATTGTCACAAATTATAGAGGACTACGACTGAAATTTGTGATCGACCGATCACAAATTGAGTCCAATCAAAAGCTGAACACATATCTCGTGTACATGTGTGTGAACGATGTCAAACCGAAAAATGACGGATACACGGGCAACTGTCAACGTTATGCATTGGTTCGTCCAGCGTCAACTTTAGTGTTAACAGTAGATTTACAGGCACTGACTGAAGCTGTGTGAAAATGAAATAATGATAATAACGTTTAATTATGAATTTCCGTATCTCTATAAGAACAATGAAATAAAATGACTACTTTTCAGTGACGTCCTTGTGAGAACCGCCGGCATGAGACAGATTTGCCAGCAGAGAAAGTTGTTGTTTCACAGGGGCAGCCATGTTCTTTGACACATTAGGATCGCATCAAAGTAAATAAAACATCTTTTACCATTGGTTGGATAACTAGTGGCCCCAACGAGCTGTACTTGGACGGGCGATTTTATGCCTAATCTTCCATTTTTATTTTAACAATCATTTAATCTGAAAATGTATATTTGTCCAATTATCACGAAAAGATTATTCCATCCGTGCGACTGTCTTCGCGGAAAATGATGCCGAGTGTCCACATTATGGGATGGTAATGGTGGGCGCGTGATTTTGAACAAATACAGAATGCCTGCTCAGAGATCAGGTACGTGGTTTCTGAGCCCCGGACCACAATTGAAAGGCCATGTTGAGCTTTCACGGAAAACTAAATCACTAATTAGGACGATTCGGCAATAATATACAAACGGCCATGTAATGCGTCCTCCAATGTCATCCAACCCTATTTGGTAAATATGGCACAGTGGTGCGATATAGAGAATGTAAGGTACTGAAATATGCAAATAATCCCCTGTCCTGTATCGAATATAGATGGAACGATCCTTCTTTCAGACGTGCGATATGATATAATAGGTTGTTATTGAGGTTGTACAAGCATATTCCACTCCTAAAACATCCCGGCGATTTAAATTTCCCTGAATTTCCATCTCCAAATGGCGCGTGTTTCAAGCAATGTTTACGTGTCCCAGATATGGAATACATATCCAGCTGTGTTTATAAACGCGATCAAGTGTTATCAATACAATTTATTGTAACGAAATGATCATATTAACAAACTATAACCACCAGCAGTCTCAGAAATCAAATACAAATGAAACAGGCGATGCATTTTTGTCAGTATCAGCCTACTACATGCACAGTGAAATTGTCTATATTTATTGGGGTATTTTGTTAGCAGAACTGATTAGTGAGATTATTATTTCTTTTCTTGTTGCTATGCATGGATGTATGTGATAAGATATTTCTAGTAGATGGTAATGAGCTAAGCTTCAAAGTTAATGACAATTTTCTGTTTAGGTTCATGGTTTTGTGGCAGTGTTTTAGTATATTTAGTTTCCTCTTAAAGTTTATCAATAACAATCATTGCAGTTGAGAGAGTAAGTATGTTGTTATCAAGAATTTCCTCAGGAGGTAAATGTGCAGGACATCTTAAAATATGTGTTTGCTTTGCATCACAAGTGTTTTCATTTTTATTATGTTCATTTGATGCAGCCTTGTATGATCTGTAGATGTTTTGGGACATTTGAACCAAAAAGCACTTGTGAAGTTCACATTCCTTTGTAATTGCTATCCATGTTAAAATTTGCAGGTTTATGCATTTTAGATTTTCTAGGTCATTGAACTTTCAGCAATATGCAAGGTATGTGGCCTGTCAGTAATCAGGTTTGGACCAGACAAACCAGTGAACAACATTCCATGCTGGTTGAGTTACAGAGTCAGTGAACCTGACCCTCCAATCCACTTGGATCTTTTCTAACCTGATAATGGCATACTGTGTAAAGAAATTGTCGAGAAGTGTAGAACAGCAGAGAATCTTGGATGTGTTATTTGTGTTAAAAATGCAACCTTCCATGTTTACAGTTCAGAAATTGACTACTTCTTGCATAACTTTCTAGATTTTGTTGATATCTGTGTAGAACTACATAATGTTCGTGGTGTTTCAAATGTCAGGCTAATATGGGGCACATGCTTTGATGGATATATGAAACAGCCTGTCAGGCAATAGTGTCCTTATTCTAGTGATACACGCTAATTGGTATTCTGTGTTAATTAGCTTTTGAACAGTTTCACTACAGCTTTGTTTTATCTTCTTCAGGCATTACCAAAAATGATGAAACTGATGGGTTACTCTTAGCATCGATTGAGAATGTGAATGTAGACACAACACCACTTCCCATTGTGAAAACAATCTCTTCAGAGGGTGTGTCTCTCTTGACTCCCTTGATGGGACGTGCTGACCAGGCCAACAGTTCCGGGTCGGACATCAAGACGGAAGTCATTGGGGTTGATTCTGACAAGTTGCAGCCAAAAGATATTGTGTCAAGTGGTGATTCTGTTGTGGTTCAGCCCTCTACGAGTTTGATTGGATCATTATCATCTGCACTACAAGGGACACAGACCATTTATCTGAGAGGCCCTGGGGTGGGTGGTTCTCTGGATTCTTTTGCAGGTGGAACCAAGACTATAGTTGTCCAGTCCCCAAGTAACAGTGGAGGTTTGGGGACAGATAGTGGACACCAGACCATACGGGTTGATACAGGCAGTGTTCGAGCCAACCAAATGCAGACAGCAGTGGTGGAGGTGCCGTCTAGTAATGACAAAGTGGGGATCAAAAGGCAACTGTCTTCAGGATCTGGCACAAATCCAATTGTGACTAAAGTGATAATTACTAAAAACCCCACAACTAGTCAGCCCCAGGCTGTCCCTGTGCAAATGGCTCAAGTTCAGCAAGGTCAGACTGTTTCACTGCAATCACTAGGTGGAATAAATGTGATGCCACATGTTCAGTCTCCAACAAAAACAGTGACTATAACCTCACAGGGAATCGTGTCCCCTATGAAAACAGTGCTAGCAACATTACCAGGATCTCCTACGAAAGTCATCCCTGTAAATAAAGTCCCTATCTCTCCAGCAAAAACTCCTACCAAAATTACTATGATCCCTGTGTCTATAGCTAAATCTCCACAAAGGTTAATGACAGTATCAGCAAGTGGCACTGTAATGGCAAGGACATTTACTGACTTAGCAAGCACGCTCACAACCAGCACAACGTCGGCGGCCAAACCTGCAACCATCACAATGTCTCCATCTAAACTCATAATTAAACAAGGCAATGGGGTAAGCAAATATGACTATTAATTATTTCTTTTCTCTTTGATGTTTCAGATCAGTATTGTGCTGACAAGGTGGTATTTCCAGCTGAATTCATATCCAGTGAAACTTTCTATTGAACTCAAACGTTATTGTGTCGATGTACTATGATTCAGATTATGCAAGGTATATGATTCTAAACTAGGTCTGACAGTGCTGCTGGCAGGCTGGTAGAGAGGCACAGTATAACCGGTATACCACGGTTTGGAAAACTAATTAATAGTTTTGATATTTCAGTATGTTTATTGGCGGCTTCATCTTGTTGGGAAAGTTGAACTTAGTGTCAAGTTGAAACAAGATTGTTCTGATTTTTGTATCAGAAGAATCAGATGTCAATTTCAAACTATTCCAGGGTTCTAGAATGCCACTCAAATAAAACAACAACAACAAAATTATTCTAGGGTGTGTTTTTATCCCCACGGCATGTAATGCGGGGGATATAGTCGTCGCCTCGTCCGTCTGTCCATCCATCCGTAATCATTTTGTTTCCGGAGCATAACTCAAAGACCGTTCGATATTTTTCAACAAAAATTGGTACATATGGCAAACATAACCTAAGGTGGTGCCTTTTGCTATTTACAGATTATTGTCATTTTTATTTTTCTCGATTTCCATGGAAACATTTTGGACTTATGAGGGGTGGGCTTCGTTTCCGGAGCATAACTCAAAAACCGTTCAATATTTTTCAACAAGACTTGGTAGATATATCAAACAGATCCTAAAGTGGTGCCTTTTGCTATTTGGCAGAATTTGGCATATTTACTTTTCCCGATTTTCATGGAAACGATTCAGACTTTATCCCAAAAGGGAGGGTTGGCTTCGTTTCCGGAGCACAACTGGAAAACTTCTTAATATTTTTCAGCAAAACTTGGCAGATATGTGAGGCAGATCCCAGAGTGGTGCCTTTTGCTATTTGCAGATTTTTGTGATTTATTATTTTCTCGGTTTCCATGGAAACGATTCAGACTTAGTCTCAAAAGGGAGGGGTGGGTTTCGTTTCCGGAGCACAACTGGAAACTTCTCCATTTCTTTCAGCAAAACTGGGCAGATATGTGAGGCAGATGCCAAAGTGGTGCCTTTTGCTATTTGGCAGAATTTTGGCATTTTTATTTTTCCTGGTTTCCATGGAAACGATTAGGACTTAGTCCCAAAAGGGAGGGGTGGGCTTCATTTCCGGTGCACAACTCGAAAAGCATTCAGTATCTTTCAACAGAACTTGGCAGATATATTAGGCAAATTTTGAAATGGTGCCTTTTGCTATTTACAGATTTTTATCCCCCCGCAACATGTTTTGCGGGGGGTATTAAAATGGACTCCGTCCGTGCACATCTGTCTTTTCTGGAGCAGAACTCTAAAACCGTTCAATATTTCTTCACCAAACTTGGCACATAGATAGATCTGGTGGTGTACTGGTGCCTTTTGGTAGTTTTGGAATTCTGAATAAAATCTTTTTGGCGTTTCCATGGCAACAAGTTTGACTTAGAATGAAATTAGTGGTAGTGCTCTTTTCCGGAGCAGAACTCTAAAGCCGTTAAATGTTTCTTCACCAAACTTGGCACATACATAGATCTGGTGGTGTACTGGTGCTTTTTGGTAGTTTTGGAATTCTGAATTAAATATTTTTGGCATTTCCATGGCGACAAGTTTGACATAGACTGAAATTGGTGATAGTTCTCCTTTTCTGGAGCAGAACTTTAAAAACCTTTCAATACTCTCCTTCCACTTTTCTATATACACACCTAAATATTTGACATAATCATAACTCGTAGACATAATGATGAAGAGTATTTTGCCATTGCGGGGGATATTGATGACTTTGTCTTCTTGTTGGCATTTATATTTCTCATGATTTCCATGGAAACAATTTGGACTTTAAGTAACTGTCAGATGATTTGTTCTTTCAAATATGTGGGGACCGGGGGGATATGTCATCTTCTGATGACTTGATTTTATTTTTTCCCTCCTGCCTTTAGGTTTTTTGAGTACAAAAATCCGTAAAACAAGAAATAAAATTGGTCTGGCCTTAATAATAAATAACTGTAATTGGCACCAAGTCAGAAAATACATAACCTGTTGTGTATCAATAAGCTCAGCTTTTTAAAACTTTTGTACAGCATCAGTGAAAGTAAGGTCAAGTTCACTGCCTACTGTAAAATATATCATTTGCAGTTTCAGTGACACAGCTATCAAATAGCAGAACATAAGGCGTGTGTATAGGGTAACATGGAATTATAAAACAGGGTCGGTAGGTAGGGTTTATCTTTTGTTTTTTTCTGCACTCACATATTTTTCATAAAATCACATATTTATGTAATATCAGGGACCAGTTTTGAAAGAAAAGAGGGGAAACCAGCTTAAAATTTAATATCCGAAGCATCAACACTTTCTAAATTCAACGTGTTTGGAAAACAAGAGAAATTGAGCACAGGTCACATATGGTTGCCCTCAGCATTGGGGAGTACATACTGTTGGAATAGCAAAATGTTTTGCCGTCTTTTAAAAAAACGGATAAAAAAGTTTAGGGTCGGGAAGTTTGTGATGGTGTCGGTCGGGAAACCATAAACACACATATATATTTTTGGCCTAACTATTGCAGTTTTTCATGTCTTGTAGTTGAAATGTGACTTGCCATGAGCAGGGTTTGAACTAAACCTAAAAGTGCCACTAGCCCTTCAGGCTAGTAACCTTCAACTATCACTAGCCCACAAACAAAACAAGTAGTCCATTGATAATGAAATTAACTTTCATTGCTTTATTGTTGTATATAATAAATGATTTAATCTACTCTTAAATCTTTCAACGCCAGTCAACAAGAGTTTTTTTACTGCCATGACACCGAGTTCCCAGAGGCTCTTGAGGTCATCGATGGAGCCTATGTTTATCAAGGAAAATATCAGCTTGTAAAACATTATTGCTACTACATGTCATACACCATTTGAAAGGTCTCATCCTACTGTTTATAAATATGAAAGCTATTTTATATCAAATTATTCAAATAATAAAACTACCTTTATAAAAGTTAATTTAAATTAAAATGTAAACTTACTCATTTATAATGTCAGATAAACCTCGATGGAAGAAACAAATGTTTGTAACATGACAATATATTCGCTTGTCGTTTTCATTTATATTTTCATTTTTACGTAATCGGAACACTATTATAAAAAGATTTCTCAAATAACACGTATGGTCGTCGATTTCCCGATATCAATGGCTTCCCGCTAAGTAACGTGACACAACAGCAGGAAATACCTCCGTTGTCGAAGCTTCATATGAATAACATGCAAGGCATTTCGTTTGATGGCGAGTATCATTTGAAAGCTCTGAACATCAACAATATCGCTGTACCTTTGCTAAGAGTTTTTTCACGGTTGTAACATGCGATTTTATTGGATGAAGATTGGTTTCTAATGACGCTTATCTTTTGGCCACTGTCTGCTATAAATATGGTGATTGGTCAAAATTGTGCACATGACCTAAGGCAGCCAATCATATTACAGTAATGGATATCGTCGTCGTAAACGAAAACTTCGAGATTTAGACGAAAGTTTTGGGTTAAACATGTTATTGAACGTGTTACGCAAAAAATCACCACTTGCACGTATATTATGGAACTTAATGGACGTATCGTGCCAGGTTATCACCTGTGACAAAAATGCTTCATGCATATATTTTAGCATTAAACATAGTGTCTGAGCGTTAAGTTCGAGGCGACGAAAGCCGAGATGTCACTTGACTTACACTATACGATCGCACAAAAAAGATGGAAAATAGTAACTTATAACATACGTTCAACAACAATACAGTTGTAGATTTTATTCTTTAGTTTATTCAATTTGTTTAATGATTTCCTCGAAACATTGCTCTTTGCCAACTTTGATGTGGACTCATGTAATGATATGCATTTGCATCAGATAGTTATACTCTATCAGGGCCAGTTGTAATGAACAGAAGGTGTGGAAATGGATATCTAAAATTTCCAGTTTTGCACGCTCTTTCCAACCTAAAACAAGTGGTATAGCGAGGGGACCACTAAGATGTTTTGAATAAATTGACACGATGTAGATGTTATCTTCGAGTTCTGCAACATTAGATTCACTAGTCTGGTGGAGAGAGTCGAAAATGGATGATCTCAACTGCTGTACTTGATGAATAATCGCTGAAAAAAACTAGTAGTCCGCCGGACTAGTGCAAGTTTGTTTCCATTCGCCTGACTACATTTTTACTCGCCTCGGGGACGTCACAAGTTATGTGACATCATAAACAATAAAAAGTAGCACTGCTTCACATGACTAATATCAGAGCCATTGTCAGCTGCCACAAGTCTAGTTTACTGTTCTTAGCTGAAGTTTTTGAAAGCCATTTAGAAGTTGGACGAACACGAATACATGGCAGGATTTATGGACAACGAGTTCTTTTTTATTCTTTATCACGACGTTTCAGAGCTAATTCTTACTCCTTCATCACTTGAAGTTGAAGGTTCTTAGCTAGTTGACTTGTACATGAAGTCCTCTGTGGAATGTACTTTGTAGAACCAAATGTGGACAAATGTGTTTAACTGATTGAACAGAAAGGTGTTGTAGTTCACAAAATAGTTATGAAATCCATCAGTATACTGCCTTGATTACTTTGAAATATATTGGGTTGTAAAGATAACATCTTGATTCAGTACGTAACATGGATGCTCCCTCTGAGTCCCATGTCAGCAGCATAAAGTATCACATTTTGAATATTTGATAGACCAAAGTTTTTTTTATAGTAAGTAGTTAACCAAACTATTGAACCTCATTTGTTTGTCTGATCCTAAGGGAAACATCCATCTGCCAAGGCCACAGATGCCAACTGTTATTGAAGCCTTGGAGTGATCAATAGGGTAAAAAACAAGTAGTTTTATGTCACAAAAGTAATGGTTGCCAGCTTGGAGAATCTCAGATGCAGTTACCTTTGAGAATCTCAGATGCAGTCTT